ATCCTGTATTTAGGTAATAAGTATCAACCAATTAACAATGCATGGTTAAATTGTGGTGGTTGTCTTGCTATTTCATTTTCTGAAATAACTGTTTAATTCATATTAACATTTGTTGGTGTACCTTGGCTTCCTCCACCAATTATACAAGCCACATGATACAGCCAAGGATTTCAAGAGTGGTGTAAAATAACAACAAAAAACAAACAAATATAACCCTGTACTTTGAGAATCCTCAGGAACAGGCATCAACTATTGTTAGGACTTTACATTTCTAATCATGTTTCAATAGCAAATCAATATATCTCATTCTGTGTAAACAAAAGACATTGCTAAGTGCCAAATATTCATAAAAAAAACCAATAAACAAGTTTTCTATCACAGATTTATTATGGTATAAAATGGTAAAAAAAAATTCTGTATGTTTTCTTAATTCTACAATAAGAAAAAAAACCAAACATAAATCAACAAATCAACAAATTTAAATAAACTTAAAATGTTAATCAAAAGTAACAAATATGTTTGAAAAAAAAATAATATAATATCAACATTCAACCAACAGTTTAGTCCATTATTTAACAATTTCAAAAAGTGCATTAGACACTAATTTTGTTATTTTTTACTTAAAATTCTACATAGGTGCAATGAGAAAAGTTTTTCTTATTGCAAATATATTTTAAACAAGAGTGCACACACTGAAATGTCTCACCTACTTTACTACCATTGATTTTATGTTGATAGTTCTAAATATAAAGTTTTACTTCAAGTATCACATTAACTTCTCATGATCCAACAAAATGAGGTCAAGGTCAGATAAACCATGCCAGAAATACATGATCACCTTACAATCAGTCCATACATTGAATATAGTTGACCTATTGCTTATAGTATACACGAAACGGAGCAAACCATGAAACTTTTATATTGACCAATGAACCATAAATATGAGGTCAAGGTCAGATGAACCCTGCCAGACAGACATGTACACTTTACAATCATTCCTTGGATCAAATATAGTTGAGGTATCAAATATAGTATCTAAGAAACAAACTTATCATTAACCAATGAACCATGAAAATGAGATCAAGGTCAGATGATTCCTGCAGGACAGACATATAAACATATTTTACCTCTTTGTCAGTCTATAAACACAAGAGAATCAAAAGAGTACATTGACCAATTGCTGGCTCATAAAAGTCCTAACAATTTTTTGTAAATGCATGTGCCACAGCAGTATTTTGCGAAAAAGGTAAAACCAAGAAATCACAAATTGCGGCACTTGAAATTAGAAAAGCATAATTCCTAGCATCTTTCAGTTAGATAACATCAACATACAGAAAGAAAAGACAAGAAAGTCAATTCTATGGAGTAAATAAATATCATTACATGAAAAAAAAACCTACAATATATATTACAGTCTATTTCAACTTTGAAATTAGTTTTATGCCATTGAAATGATGAAATGACTTGAAAAGACCATAGTTTTTTTTAACATGTGTGATGAAAACTAAATGTTTTACACATAAGAATTGTTAAATAATATTTAGTTACTGTAAATTTAGAAATTATTGTCAGGTTTAATTAATGCTAATAATGTGACTGGATGAGTATCGCAATAATAAGCAGTAGCATTCTATAATCTGACATGTATATTTGTATGCAGCTTTTCCTGTAATTGCAATAATAATTCTCAAATTTATTTTGTCATGTCGAAATGGCAATAATAAATGCATGCAAAAACTCTCACAAAAAGATATTTCACAACATTTATCTTATAAATGAAATTTGACCTCAACCAAGTTAAAAATAAGTTTTGTCACATTGGCAGTTTTCCTATTGCTATTGATATGTTATATAAGTTCAAAATTTCTACAAAAACACACTTTCTATGAGAAACAATTCATAACAGAGGCATGTGAAAAAACAACTTAATATATACTTTAAATATATTGGTTAATTTGCTTAATGAAAAACCTCAGTTATAAATTAAAACTGTTACCACTATCACAGATCTGCAGCATAATAATTTATACATAAGATATTTCATGTTTGTAAAATTGAGCAATGAACAGTTTACAAGTAAAGAAATTCATACTGACTTTTTAGTGTTCTTGGCTTGCTGTCTCAATGGAAAATAAACTCCACATTTCATTTTATTCATATTCATACCACTTAAAACTGTGGTACCTAGTCTAGCTTAGCAAAAAATAATAAATTCAGTTCTACAGTTGTGGTCATAAGTATTCATCACTTGGGATTTTTCACTATATATTTCTTGAAAACTATATTTAAAAAAAAAAATTATTTTGGGGTAATTTCTATTTGTATTTTAAGCAACTTGGTACCAATAGAAGCAGAGTTTGTTGGTTTATGCTTTTGTTTTGAAGTGTTTTCCTTTTCTGATTAGACAAACACAAGTATTATTATTTTTTGTTAAGAAATTTGCTATAAATTTTAACCAAATAAACTGTAAAAAATTATTATATGTGTTCCCATCAGGAGAAAACAAAAACAACTGAAGACAAAACTATGACCAAATAAACTAATATTCTTAAGACAATTCTGTGTCTTTCAACACCTGATTTGTAAAAATCAAACTATAAATGCATTCAAAATATTTTTTTATAAAAATGTGTTTTTATCAAAAAATATAAAACAAAAAATTGTAGGTGATGATTAGTTTTGGCCATTACTATCATAATGTAACAATACAATGATCTTAAAAATGTAATCTCTAATTGTAGCTAATAAATAATGCTATATAGTCCAAACTGAGTTATTTTACCACAGGTATTTTTATTCACCACATGTAAAAAAATCACCTCTGCAGATATAGTGAAAAAAAAACCCAGACAACTTACATTTTTCCTAAATTCTCTAAGTTCATGGGCTGAAATTCCATTAAAATTCAGTTATCCATAGTAAAATGCAAACTTGTAACTCACAACTTTTTATTTATAAACCAAAATCTTCTAAAGACCTATAGGCATTCCAATTATGCCTGGACTACTGTTGGATTTCAGAATTACAGAATAGCAGATGTTGGTACCAGGACATGCTTTTATCAATGAACCATGATCATGATGAGTGAAAAAGAACAAAGAACAAAAAACATCTTTAAAAATCAGAAATCTTTCTTGCAGAGTTTTATTTCAAATAAATAAGAAATACTCAGCTAACTCTACTTTTGAGGTATTCTTATGTTTCTATTGGGTTTGATTTTAATCTTTCTAATTTTAATTCATTTTTCAGCCCCTCCTACATCTGCAAACATGACAAAAACATTGGAAACACTATTCATTCCTTAGGAACATCTACGAAGCTTTTTATGGCATTTCTTCAAATGACAATGAAAAACTTAATGAGTTCTGGTTTGATTTATTTTTCCAAAACTAAAAATATACAAGAAATGATTGTAACAGGATGCTGTTACGAAGTCTCCCAAACGAAGCTCCCATAATTCGTAATTCCCAGGGTCGCCTGACATTGGACAAAGTCCTGTGAAAATTGGTTTGGTCCAGTAAAGTTATATGCATTAGTGATGCCTGGGGACTAACCCTGTATATCATTGAAATCATCTTGGCATGACAAACCAGAATATATATGGTTTAGGGGTGGGGATCTCGACCATTTACAAGATACAAGAACATTGGGGGTGGGGGGAACCCCTGGGGACTGACCCTAAACGTCATTCAAATGTTAGAGACATGACGAACAGGAATATATATGGTTTAGGGGTGGGGATCACGACCATTTACAAGATATTAGAACATTGGGGGTGGGGGGAACCCCTGGGGACTGACCATATACGTCATTCAAATGTTCTAGACATGATTAACAGGAATATATATGGTTTATAAGTGGGGATCTCGACCATTTACAAGATATTAGAACTTTCTTAAATAGCAGGGGGTGGGGGTGACCCCTGGGGACTAACCCTGTATATCATTCAAACCATCTTCACATGACAAACCAGAATATATATGGTTTAGGGGTGGGGATCTTGACCACTTACAAGATATTAGAACTTTCTTAAATGGCAGGGGGTGGGGGTGACCCCTGGGGACTAACCCTGTATTTCATTTGATTTGCTTTATCATGACAAACCAGAATGTATATGGTTTAGGGGTGGGGATCTCTACCATTTACAAGATATTAGAACTTTCTTAAATGGCAGGGGGTGGGGGTGACCCCTGGGGACTAACCCTGTATTTCATTTGATGTGCTTTATCATGACAAACCAGAATGTATATGGTTTAGGGGTGGGGATCTTGACCATTTACAAGATATTAGAACTTTCTCAAACGGCAGGGGGTGGGGGTGACCCCTGGGGACTAACCCTGTATTTCATTTGATGTGCTTTATCAAGACAAACCAGAATGTATATGGTTTAAGGGTGGGGATCTCTACCATTTACAAGATATTAGAACTTTCTCAAATGGCAGGGGGGTCGGGATGACCCCTGGGGACTAACCCTGTATATCATTCAAACCATCTTAGCATGACAAACCAGAATATATATGGTTTAGGGGTGGGGATCTTGACCACTTACAAGTTATTAGAACTTTCTTAAATGGCAGGGGGTGGGGGTGACCCCTGGGGACTAACCCTGTATTTCATTTAATGTGCTTTATCATTTAGAACATTTTCAATTAAAAAGATTGTGTCTATCACAAACGGTTTTCAATTTATAATCATTTGAAAATTTAAAAAAATAAAATCCCATAGGGTTCTATAGTAAAACCCTCCTTTCTTTTTGCCCCTCAAAGTACCCCTTTATAAACCCCATTGCACAAACAAAACCCTGATTGCACCACTAGACATGTTAGTCTAACATATTGTGAAACCCTAAGTTAATCTGACAAGCGGTTTTGGAGAACGGGTGCGGACAAGTTCAAATTTAAAAGTGGCGGAAGAAGAAGAAGAAGAAGAATAATAATAATAATAAGAACTGAGCAAAAACAATAAGTCTTCCCAAACTTCGTTTGGGAGACTTAATTAAACTGCCATTTTGATTTTGATTTGCAATACCTTTATATGTAATTAATAAATCTATATAATGAAAAATAAAAAAGCATTTTTTTCTGCTTTTATACAAAACCCCTTGTTTTCTCAGTAATAAACTTCACAAAACGTTCTGAGTATACATCAGGTGGAACAGTCGAATGATCAGTCGAACGATATTTCAAAGTTTTAAGAACTCGTCCTAATTGCTGTCTACATTCGTATTGCGTAAAAAAGTCAACTATACCTAAATAATACCTATATTCTGATCCATTTATCACATGCAATGGATTTTTACAGTTCAACAACAACCTACGGTTAGATGTTTGTTGAAAATTATCATTCCCAGGGTCCTTTAAAAAGTCAGGCACTGTATAAATACTTTTTCGCACTTGATTGCCTGTTTTTTGATGAGTCATTTCTATCTGCATGGTTGACCTATTTCCAGGGTTATCTTTGTCACTTTCCACAGGTAAATCAGCACTTAAATTTTTCAAAGTATGTTTTGGTAGCCCACCTGTTATGGCATAAGACCTGAAAAATAATAATAGAATGATGATTATCAAGATAGTATTTTTTTATTTAAAATTATTCTATGTTTGATTAAAAATATTTACTGCATGTATATACATTTTTATGATTTAACCTATGACTCATTTTGAGATCATGTCTTTAAAATTTAGACAAGAACAAAAGCTGAAATCAAAAATATATTTTGATACAAGATGTCTTAGGAACAGGTATAAGGAATTGACATCAAGCAAATAATTCATTCCATTTAAATAAGTACCAGCATCATCTTGATCTGATAAAGAGGTCTTAACTTTTGCTCTGTGTGTTTTGACTCTGAGATGAAAAACAGCAAAAAGAGTGCTGTTCCTTTGCTTTCGATTTTATCAGTGCATATGGGTATTTTGTGTCATGAATAACTACACAATATCCCTTATCAAAATGACAAATTTTTTATATCTTTAAGTCTGTATGCAAATGGAAATTGTTATGCAGTTCATTTAAACTTTGACTAAGTCATGCATTATTTCCTTCCAAGTTATTAAACAAATATCTTGATGTGCCCTGTTGTTGTCTGAATGTCTGTATTGCTTCTGTATTTTACACTGATATTGTCAAGCAAATTATGACAGTACCTTTGAACTCTAATAAAAACATCACTGACTGAATCTTTAACTTCTGAACTTGAGATTTTATGTCTACCAATCAATAAACTGTAATCCTGAACACCAACTTGACGTAGAAAATCTGCATCTATCTGTAGCTGTCGTAGAAACCATCCTTTCTGTACACCTTTAGAGTAAATGCAAATGTAACAATTTGTAAATTAATAAACAACTCAATAATTCTATATCCTTTCAAGAGAAAAGAAAAAAATCTTTAAAAATTCACAGATTTAAAAAAAAATAAAAATTAAAGAACTAAAACAGGTTGCTTTCAAGTAATTAAGCTTTAAACTAATACTTTCAGTACTGAATACATGTATATGTAAAAATAAAATACATAGTGTCAGAAATATAAAAACAAGAGTGCTTACATTGAATGAAATATCTAGCCTACCAAACAGTCATGTTCACTTTAAAATAATACCATACATCAATTACAGTTGACCTACTGCTTATATGATCTGAGATCAAACCTTACAAAGAAAATTTAATGATCTGAAATCAAGAAATGGCATCAAGCGCCAATATAGTGTTTTTTTTATATCATTTATGCTATTATTTAAGTGTTAAGTGCTTTACCGATTCTGATTTTAATTGCATGTTCCATGTATGCACCTTTTGCTAGCCCTCGGATCAAGATTGCAGAAGGGAAGGTTGAGATTTCAAAAGCTAGTTTAAACCTCCACCCCACATATTCATAAGTCTAAGACTAGTGATCTAAGTAGTTCAACTACTATATCACGAACCTATCAACACTGAGGTTGTGATTTCGAACCCTGTATGTGACAGATGTGTTCAACTCCAATCTTAATTGACTGGGATTTCAAGTTTTCCTGCCAAAGGCTGTAGTTCTCTGCGAGCACTTTGGCTTCTTCCACCAAGAAAATTAAAACTCGCTGCCATGATATAGCTAATATTCCTGAAACAAGTGTTAAACACCAACAAATCAATCAATCAAAAGCAATAAACAGTTTTAGATATTAACACTTACCAAGATCAATAGATTCATGAAGAAAATTCACATCTTTTAATATTGTTAAAATATTTCTTTCGGAAGAGTTGGGCTGTAACAAAAGTCAAAGCATTTAAATAACTACATTTTAGTATATAACAATAAATAATTTTGTCCCACACAAGTATCCATATCTATAAACATCATGGGAGATTTCAGGGGAGATAACCACCAAGTTATGCTTCTTCAGAAAAGATTTTGCAAGACTACCTGTGTCAGGCATAATCACTGTTATTATATTTGTTACTACTGAACAAATATAAAATATGAAAAAAAAAGAATTTGCTTGTTGTGAAGTGCAGTTATCCACTATAATGTTGGCATGTTATGAAATACAAATATAAGGCGAATAAAGGAAAAATAAATTGTAATGAGTGCATTTCTATTCTAACTATTGGATTATTTTTTATTTAAAGTCTTTATAATAATGAACAGGTGTATTAATTTCCAGTTGATGGTAGTTGCTTGAAACTCTTCATTTTAGTTCATTTATCTAAATTTGAAAATTTTGCAATTTAATCAACTTACAAACTATGTGTCAATCATTGCAATATACTATACCTTTTGATATCTATTTTTCGTACACCCTTTGATATCGAATCTTGTTTCAATTCTTTGAGGAGGGTAAAATATATTCTGCATAGCTAAAAAATGTGTCTGAAATTTAGAAAAATAATATAATCAAAAATAATTTAAGAACAATTAGTTGCTTGTCACTTTACACTTTAGTACATTTCTCTAAATTTGAAAATTTTGAAGTACAGTACATGTACTATGAAAGAAACTAAGTAAGCCATTTATTTTAAAAATATCTTATTTGCAAAACCATAGCAAAAGGATACATCACAATTAAATCAATTGGGAACATCTTCTCCTTGTATGCAGTATATTACCATTGATTGTTGCTTGTTTAATGTCCAGTAGCAAATATTTCATGCATATTTAGGAAGAGAACAAATTAACAATTAATACAATATGTATGTTCTGCAAGGTTGGTAAACCAGGATTAAAGGGGCATTAGCTGTCAAATTCATGTTCACCCATTTGAATTAAATTCTCATATTTGATTTATAACATACTAAAACGTATATTCAATTTACAATAAGTCTGAAATAAATAATTTACAAAGCATGGATTTGATAATATATATCAGCATTACGTGTGTATTTTAGTCTAGACGCCATCGAATTAACCATCGAGATGATCTCTGAAGACTGCCGATGGTCACATAACCCGATATAAACATAAACATAAATATAAATAGATAGGGACCTCGTGCAATTGGACTTTTCTAGATCTGTTTGATTTCATGTTATAGGTTAAAAAAAATAACTTAATCATCGTTTTTACCTGTATAAGAATGATTTTTATTGATCAAATCAGTCAACGAAATGGTTCACCTTTGTTTCACTTTCAATGTTGACATTCTTTTCCTTTTAATGGCTGAACACGACTAATACAAGCGTAACCAATCTCTAGCTTATGGGTTAAATTGAAGGTCACATGAATACGGATTCAATGAGGTCGAATTATTCACTTGCAAGTGAATAATTCATCAGCAATGTTTCTTAGTTTATTTTGACAAAATTGAACTAAACTAGCTGATAAAAGCGAATAATTATTTCACCATTCACTTTCCTTATAAATGATTGAACAAGAAAAAAAAAATCATATGTTAATTTTTTTTATATCTTGTAGCTTATGCCCATTTAAGGGCAGAAAATTTAATATATTCAAAAACTTTTCTTATTTTTTCTTTGATTTTTAGATCCAATTTACATTCTGATAGTGATCCAACTTTACATTGTGATTATCAATGGAATTCACTCCTATGTGAGAAGACGGCTAGATGTCTTTTGGACTTTTGTGTAGTTTAGTTGCTGTGACATTGATGTATACCCCACCTCTCTTTTCATTCATACTTTAATTATTAACTAACCTTTGGAAAACCAGGGCCTTCTAATGAGTAAACTCCAAGAAATTTGACAATGAGTGAATGGGGATACAGCTGAAAATGGTCTAAATATTCTCTAAAATACAAGAAATAATTTATAAAAGACTTCCTTTGATATTGATGTAATAAGTACTACAAGTACCACATACTTTAAATTAGAATAACTATTACAAAATAAAAAGGCAAATATGGTCGATTAACCTTAAGTATTATTTTCTTGTTATGTACTTTCACAGAAGGGTAAATTCTGTGTTTACTAAATAAAATTTATACATGTGTTGTGTTACATCAGATTTGAATATTAAAAGTCACTAAATGCTAACATCTGACCGGTTAAAGCTGATTATACAGTATGGGGTTTGCTCCTTGCTGAAGGCTACACAGTAACCTATAGTTGCTTAAATCCACTTTATTTAGACTCTGGTGCATAGAAGTCTCATTGGCAATCATACCAAATCTCCTTATTTTATATCTGGTATCATTTTGCATTGAAATTCTTGTTTTGATCATTCAGTGGATACCATGTGAATACCAAAAGATTATCTTTACATTAAAATACTTTTTTAATTGATCAACCTTATGACCAAGGTTACTGTTATACCAAAACTATCTGACCACATACCTAATTTGTTATGTTTCTGGTTAGCCCTCTATTATTTGATATCATAAATAAAACAAAATATTAAGCAGTTATATATAAGAACATGATTCTGCTTAAGTACATACTTACGACAAAAATGATTTAAAAATATCTATATTATGTGTCTTGTCTGTTTTCAGTATATATTCCTGGTCATTGCTGAAAAGATTGATTTAAAACATACAAAAATAAAATGCTCCGCAGGGCGCAGCTTGATACGACCGCAGAGGTCGAACCCTGAACAGTTGGGCCAAGTATGGACACAACATTCAAGCTTGATACAGCTTTGCATTTGGATTGTGATTAAATATTTGACACAGCATAGGTTTCTTACACAGAATGAATGTGGTCTAAGAACTTAAAAATTTTAAATTGGACATTCACCTATTATGGTCCAATATCCAAAATCTAAATACATGGTTAGATTCAGCATATCAAAGAACCCCAAGAATTCAATTTTTGATGAAATCAAACAAAGTTTAATTTTGGACCCTTTTGACCTCAATGTGGACAAAGTTGATAATGGGGCCCAAAAATCAAAAATCTAAATACATGGTTAGATTCAGCATATCAAACAACCCCATATATTCAATTTTTGTTGAAATCAAACAAAGTTTAATTTTGGACCCCGATTTGGACCAACTTGAAAACTGGGCCCATAATCAAAAATCTAAATACATGTTTAGATTCAGCATATCAAAGAACCCTAAGAATTCAATTTTTGTTAAAATCAAACTAAGTTTAATTTTGGACCCTTTGGACCTTAATGTAGACCAATTTGAAAATGGAACCAAAAATTAAGAATCTAAATACACGGTTAGATTCGGCATATCAAAGAACCCCAATAATTCAATTTTTGATGAAATCAAACAAAGTTTAATTTTGGACCCTTTGGACCTCAATGTGGACCAATTTAAAAACGGGGCCCAAAATCCAAAAACTAAATACACGGTTAGATTCAGCATATTATAGAACCCCAAGAATTCAAGAATAAAACCCCATTGAAATTGGTCAAGAAATAAGCAATTATATGAAGTTCTTTTGCACAATACTGTGCAATTAAATATTTCTTGCTATTGCGCAATACTGTACAATTGACAATTTCTTGCTATTGCGCAATATTGTGCTATTGAATATTTCTTGCTATTGCGCAATACTGTGCAATTGAAAATTTCTTGCTATTGCGCAATACTGTGCAATTGAAGATTTCTTGCTATTGTGCAATACTGTGCAATTGAAAATTTCTTGCTATTGCACAATACTTACTATATAATAATTTACACATCCTGTTTGGTGTGTATCTCCTACCATATTATTATTATTTGCTTTTAAATATAAATCAGAAATAACCAACTTTAAAGGAAAATTTTAAAAGAAAAAAAAAAGGAAAAACAGAAAAAAAAGGAAAAAAAAAAAATCCCCCCCCCCAAATTTTTTGAACCCCCTTATGATTCATCACCCCCAAACTCAATCCCAGCCTTCCCTTTGTGGTATGGTACCTTGCAGTACAATTTCAGAGAGATCCATACACTTGAACACAAGTTATTGTCTGGAATTTAGAAAAATGTGTTTTTTGGGCCCTTTTTGGCCCCAAATTCCTAAACATTTAGGGCAATTACCCCCAAACTCAAACCCAGCTTTCCCTTTGTGATATGGAACCTTGCAGTACAATTTCAGAAAGATCCATACACTTACACACAAGTTATTGTCCTGAAACTAGAAAAATGCTTATTTTTGGCCCCTTTTTGGCCCCCAATTCCTAAACGTTTCGGCAATTACCCCCAAACTCAATTCCAGCTTTCCTTTTGTGATATGGAACCTTGTAGTACAATTTCAGAAAGATCCATATACTTACACACAAGTTATTGTCATGAAACTAGAAAAATGCTTGTTTTTTTACCCTTTTTTGGCCCCTAATTCCTAAAATGTTGAGGCAATTACCCCCAAAATCAATCCCAGCATTCCTTTTGTGATATGGAACCTTGTGGTACAATGTCAGAGAGATCCATACACTAACACACAAGTTATGTCTGGAAGTTACAAAAATGCTTATTTTTGGCCCCTTTTTGGCCCCTAATTCCTTTACTGTTAGTACCATAACCCCCAAAATCAATCCCAACCTTCCTTTTGTGGTAAAATTTCATAGAGATCCATTCACTTAAACTAAAGTTAGAGTGCGAAAACCAATGTGTCTTCGGACGACGCCGGACGACGCCAGACGACGACGACGACGATGACGCCGGACGACGACGCCGGACGACGCCAACGTCATACCAATATACGACCACAAAAATTTTTTTGCAGTCGTATAAAAAACTAAACATAATATTTCTATGCAGGTGACATGTTAAAAGTATTACCAAAATCAGAAACATTAACAGCTATATAAGGTCAGTTATTGATGATTAAAAGAAATAAATACATGTAGTGTCTTTAGTTTTCTATGTTGTGTTTTGTTTACTGTTGCTTTTCTTTTGGTCGTTTTTTGTTTTTTGCAATGGCATTGTCAGTTTGTTTTTGACTTATGAGTTTGAATATCCCTATGGTATCTTTCGCTTCTCTTGTGTACTGAACTCCATATGTCATAGAGGCATTTTGAGTTATTTTGACCTTCAGCATTTTGTATAGATTTGGACTAGTTCTAATTATTTGTGGTGTCATAAATTTTGAGAAATCCTCATGTGACAAGTTCAAGTTGAGTTAATTATGTGTTATGTAATTAATTGGACATTCTCATTAGCATCAGTATTATTATATTAATTAGTTGACATAATTGTAATTATGAATTTGTACTAATTAGAGTGAATTCGTTTACTCAAAACTTGTCATGATAAAATAGTATATATGTTGTGAATTCAATAAGTAAGAACAGAGTAGGATAGTAACAACAATAGAATTGTATTATTACTGTAGGAGTCATATTATATAGACATTTACCATTGTATGTGATTTTGGTTTGGAATTAAATTAAGAAAATCTTACTGTGAGTTTGGTATTAGTTCAGTGCCAGAGCTAAGTTTACGTCTTCAGCATCTCTAGCTGACCTCAACGTTTTTTCTAATGATTTTACGTATAAAATTATGACCCCGTAACAAGGAAGCCAGCAGCCTCTTTGTTACATATGGTGGAGGACCCTGAGGCATATTGACTTAGTAGTTCAATACTGATCCAGATACCAGTTCAGAGTGAGTTTTCTTATCCAGTATATATACATCAAGCAGAATGGATTACAATCTTCGACCACAGTGGCAGTACTGGAACTTTAACACAAGCCAAAGACATTTATGTGGAAAGTGTGGTTTATATCATAGACAAGGTACTTGTTATGCTTGTAAGAAGATGTGTTATCAATGTGGCAGAAAGGGACATTATGCAAGGATGTGTTTCACCAAATTTCAAGCTGCCAGACCAACAGGTTCAAAGCAAGTAACATATCACAAGAGAAAATCAAATCGAAAACAAGAACGAGATCATGAAAGAATGGACAAATTCAAACAGAAACGCAAAGTATTACAGGAAATGCCGTTTTCAAGTATAAGAAATGGAGCTTTTATTAACTCTATAGACACAACACAATGCTTGAAAACTGAGCTACAGAAAATGAAAGAAAAACTTAACCAGGAAAAGACAAAAAGTGATAAAGAAATGAAAGAGCTGAAAGAAAAATTAATATGTAAGGAAGAAGAAACATTTCAATATAAAGAAGTGACAAAAACTTTTCAGGAACAAGTTGAAATATGTGAATCAATTAATAGACAATTAAAACAAAAATTAGAAAAGAATCCAACAACTTATGACTTTGAAATTGTTAAGGGCCAGCGCAATCAAGTTCTGAAAGAAAATAAAAGACTTTTAAAGGAATTAAGTGCTGCAAAACAGAGATTAAATGTAGGTCATGTAGGTCTAACACAACCAAACAGAGGAAGTAATCTGAGATATAGAAACAATCAACTGAACCATCATCAACCAATGCATAGCAGACGAAATGTGTATTCATCAGCAGATATCAAAGACAAAATGAAAGATGTAGTACAACAAACATTAGGTGAATTCAGGGATGACATAAAAAACAGACTTTCAACATTGAATATTTCTGATAGGCATCAACTTTTTAAAATTGAAAACACGAGGACGTGTTTTATCCGGGGAGGAGCCAATCTGTCATAGAGGCATTTTGAGTTATTTTGACCTTCAGCATTTTGTATAGATTTGGACTAGTTCTAATTATTTGTGGTGTCATAAATTTTGAGAAATCATCATGTGACAAGTTCAAGTTGAGTTAATTATGTGTTATGTAATTAATTGGACATTCTCATTAGCATCAGTATTATTATATTAATTAGTTGACATAATTGTAATTATGAATTTGTACTAATTAGAGTGAATTCGTTTACTCAAAACTTGTCATGATAAAATAGTATATATGTTGTGAATTCAATAAGTAAGAACAGAGTAGGATAGTAACAACAATAGAATTGTATTATTACTGTAGGAGTCATATTATATAGACATTTACCATTGTATGTGATTTTGGTTTGGAATTAAATTAAGAAAATCTTAAAAAAAAACAAACTTTCAACATTGAATATTTCTGATAGGCATTAACTTTTTAAAATTGAAAACACGAGGACGTGTTTTATCCGGGGAGGAGCCAATCTGTCATAGAGGCATTTTGAGTTATTTTGACCTTCAGCATTTTGTATAGATTTGGACTAGTTCTAATTATTTGTGGTGTCATAAATTTTGAGAAATCCTCATGTGACAAGTTCAAGTTGAGTTAATTATGTGTTATGTAATTAATTGGACATTCTCATTAGCATCAGTATTATTATATTAATTAGTTGACATAATTGTAATTATGAATTTGTACTAATTAGAGTGAATTCATTTACTCAAAACTTGTCATGATAAAATAGTATATATGTTGTGAATTCAATAAGTAAGAACAGAGTAGGATAGTAACAACAATAGAATCGTCATCGAACAAACCATATTCTGATGCTGTCAAAGATGGTTGCGACATAGCAAGTGATAAAACTCCCCTACATAAACGTAAATCATTAAGTGCGAAGAGAGTTGATAAAAATAAAGAAAAAGACAAAACAAAAATTTCGGAAAGAGAAAAGGACCAGGAAAAAAAGAGAAACAGAGATAGACTAAGCATTGAGAGTTCTGTTCAAACAGGGAAAGATCAAAAACTGGCAAAGACTCAGACGCAAAAAAGCAGTAATACTAGTCCTGCAAATCCTTAACCCCCTCCCATATAACTATTAAAATGTCTAATCATAACAATCACTCTCATATATTGATATTTTGTTTACTCTTTTTTTTCATATATAATTACATTAATATGCTACTCTTTACATTGAACATTAGAAATGGTTTTGAAAACAAAATTTATGAAATATTAGATGACAATAGAAATATAGACATTATCTGTTTACAAGAAACTGGTTATATGTCACCAGATGTTATACATGATATAAAACAGAAATTTAATAAAAATGTAGACTTCTCAAATGGTGCAAGTAGATCTACAGGTGTCATAACAATAATAAGTAAAGATTTAAAACTGTTTAAATCTCATAGGGTTCCAACACCGTTAAAAGGTAGACTCATCCATAATAGTTACGTTTATAATGATACTGTCATAAATCTTCTAAACCTTTATGCACCACAATGTGGTTTGAGGGAGGAACAACGATTATTCTATGACATTCCGCTAAACTATGTCTCAAATCTAGAACAATATAGTACAAAAAATAAGTATATATTGACTGGAGATTTTAATTTCATAGAAGACAAAATAGATTCAAATAACATGAATTGCAGACTTAACAAATATATACTAGATAAATTTAAAAGTATTAAAGATGCTTTAAGAATTAAAGATGTTTTTAGAGAAATACATAACGACAAGGCAAATTTTACGTGCTACAACATCTCTGGTACTCGTACTAGAATTGACAGGTTCTACGCAGATAATGAATTTATTGATAAAATTAAAGAAATTAAACATATTCCGTATAAAAAGTCAGATCATAAAATTGTTCAGATTAGCATACAATATAAGCGGCAAAAATGGGGTCGTGGTTTTTGGAAAATGAATAATAGCTTACTTGAAAATGAAAACTATACCATATTAATATCAAATATTATTAAACAATGGCGAGAAGATAAACTGAAATATGACCCTCTAAAAGGTTGGGATATCCTAAAAAAACAAATAAAAGAAACAACAATTAATTTCTCAAGGGTCCAAACAAAAATTAGTAAATCTAAGTTGAATAAGTTATATGACTCTCTAATAGTTGAAGAAGCAAAACCCTCTCAAAATTGCACTATAATAAATACAATTAAGGACGAAATAATAGCAATTGAAACAAAAGAGAAAATGGGAACATTAATCAGATCACGAGAGTGTTTTTATAAAGAAGATATCGAAAATATTGAAATCTTTAAAATAGCAGAAGAAAAAAGAGGCACAAAGAAGGAAATAAAATCACTATTTGATAAAAACAATAAACCCACTGACGAAAAAAATTCAATAATACAAATAATTCTAAATTTTTATTCCGAGCTATATACTTCTGATGGCTTTAATGATCAAGAGGTTGATGAATATCTAGGGAAAATAGAATTAAATAAACTAAACGAGGAAGATTGGTCAGTTTTAAACCAATTTATAAGCAAAGAAGAATGTCTAAATAATATTAACGATTTCGAAAACAATAAATCACCAGGTATAGATGGCTTAGGTAAAGAATTTTATCTAAAATTTTGGAATATGATTGGAGATGAAGTAGTTGAAATTGTAAATAATATATATTTAAAAGGGGAATTAACCGAAACAATGAAAATGGGTATAATCACGCTAAATTATAAAAATAAAGGGGATAAAAAAGACCTAAAACAATGGAGACCTATAAGCTTATTATGCTTTGATTATAAATTAATCACTAAAACTTTAGCTAAAAGATTATCTAAAGTAATAAATAAACTAGTTGATATAAAACAAACAGGAGCCGGTGAAGAAAAGAATATTTTTGATAATATTATTTCAATTTCAGACATTTACGACTATATGAATTTGAACGATATAAAAGGTTTCTTAATAAATTTTGACCAAGAAAAAGCATTTGATAAGATTAAACATGAATTTCTTATTAAAGTTTTAAAGAAAATGAACCTTCCAGTAGAATTTATTAGATGGATTAAGATACTATATAAAGATATAAAAAGTAAAATTCAAGTCAATGGTCAGTTAACAGAAGAAATTTTAATTACAAGATCAGTTAGACAAGGCTGCCCGCTCTCCATGAATTTATATGCTTTAGCTATTGAAACACTGGCAAGTTCAATAAGAACAAATAAAAAAATAAAAGGTATTAACATTCCAAATTTAAAAGATCCCATAAAACTTTTTCAACATGCGGATGACTGTACAACAATTACAACAGATATTAAAGATTATTACTTGTTTATGAATGAATTCGAAAAATTTGGTAAAGCATCAGGAGCAAAAATAAATAAAAACAAAACGGAAATACTAAGTATTTGTAATGCCCCAGAAGAAGACACTTGTTTAAAGCTTTTAACTAAGGAGAGCGTTAAAACACTAGGAATTTGGTTTGGTAAGGAAAGTAAAAGTAAAAGTTGGCTACCAATTATCCATAGTATAAAAAATACAGTAAATAAATGGGAAAATAGAAAGCTAAATTTTAAACATAAACTCATTGTTATACTTATATCATTAGTAAAATCTTATTTGTTGCTAGAGTTGTGTCCCCTTTACCTGAATAACTCACACAAATAAATAGATATATTTATACTTTATTTTGGGGAAGGCGTAATTCGGAATATATAAATAGAAAGTCTTTATCACAAATGTATAATAGAGGTGGACAACAAATACCAAATATAAATCTGAAAATAGATGCCATGCTTCTTCAAAGAGTAACAATTTTCTTACAAGGAAATAAATCTGTTTGGACATGCTTTATGATATATTACTTAGGTTATACATTAAGGGAAATTAATTCAGAATTAGGAAATAATAATTACCAACACACGATGATCTTGCCAAGAGTTTACACAAAATTAAAAGTTCTCTTAATGAATTATAAGAATAAAATTGACCTACAAAGTTTCAACCCCAAAAATATTTATAAGAAAATTCTCGAAATAGATAATCATAAACATAAAATTGAAATAAAGTACAGCTATGTCGATTTCACAAATATATGGTGTAATATTAGAAATATCACAAGCAATTACCAGCAAGATTTTATTTATAGAGTTGTGCATAATGCTCTTCCTACTAAAGATAATAAAAAAAGAAGAAATTATAGTAACGTTTCTCCGAAATGCTATTTCTGTAACTCGGAAAATGAAACCTTAAAGCATTTACTGCTACATTGTAACAAATTAAGACTATTTCGAAAATATATAAATGACTTCATTAGAATAGAAATAAATGATGAAACTTTTGTTTTAAATGAATTAAACTGTTTGTTATTTAAGATACCATGGGAACTTTTCCCATCAATATATGCATATGTTTATTCAGTTTATCAAATTAGTTATATTATCAATTCCGGTGGTTTAATTCATACTCTTAACACTACATTTCATAGAAATAGAGATATATTCTTAGATAAAAATAATTTAATTTAGTGAAGTACGATACTTATTTATTATAATTTGTGTGTATATGTTATATTTTTTCAATAAAATACTCTTAATGTTCGGAGCACAATGATGACATAATTTGGCCACATATACCTCTTCCACCAACATGAGAAGGAAGGTTGAGGCCTGTATCCTAATAATATTTTGAATACATTATTTCTAATTATTTGGTTAAAACATAGCTAATGGTAACTCTCTGGAAATCCGGTAATAAGTTAAGCCCAAACCCAGCTTCTTTCTTTGCATATATGTTCAACACTCTATAACAACTCTTAATTATTAATATTCTATACTAATTATTACTTTTGTAATTATAACTTAAGTCATATTGTGATTATTGTGTTAAAATTAATTTCTAAACCCTTCAGTCTGAGTGCTCATTTAAAAAGAAAAAAAGAAAAAAAAAAAAAAAAAAAAAAAAAAAAAAAAAAAAAAAAGAATTGTATTATTACTGTAGGAGTCATATTATATAGACATTTACCATTGTATGTGATTTTGGTTTGGAATTAAATTAAGAAAATCTTACTGTGAGTTTGGTATTAGTTCAGTGCCAGAGCTAAGTTTACGTCTTCAGCATCTCTAGCTGACCTCAACGTTTTTCTAATGATTTTACGTATAAAATTATGACCCCGTAACAAGGAAGCCAGCAGCCTCTTTGTTACACATATATGAATAAACCTGTTCAAGTGTGTTACCACTGACTTCATTATACACACCTGAGATAAAAGTCCTGTCCACTACGAGAATTACTCATAAATTCCATGTAAGGTAAATCATGTGGTGCTATTGCATTGAGGTAATGATCTTCTGTTACACTGACTGCCTGACGTAGAGAGGCAAATACAGCACTTGAGTGACTTGTAAATGTAAATTTCTAAAATAAAGATGGTTTTATACAATACAAATATCAATTATTGTAATAAAACCTCAGCTATTGCTTCAAATTATCTAACTGTCTATGTTATTTGAAACTAAAGTTAACATGATATTCCGATACAAAAATTTAATGTGAACAAGACTGAATGTTTAGCAACCAGCAATCAATCAATTAATAAAAAAAAACTGCACATACATGTCCAAAATTGAGATGACCTATTCTTAATAATGGAATAGATGGAAATTAAAATTGTTAAATCTTTAAACGATTTAAAATTTTCTTAAGTTATTCCCCTTTTTTTAAAAACCTGAACAAATATAACTTTCAAATTGTTATATTCCCACTAAGACAATATTTTTATATTGAAAGGTCCTGTGAAAATGTTCAAAAACTTACATGTGGAAAACTGGTTGATTTCAAGAAACTGCATTTGCTAAGGACTATGTAGAAAAAGTAGTGTATTGAAAGATCGTTAGATTTTGCATACATATACAAGATTTTTCTAGTTTTTTAGAACAATATGCATCAAAGCATTTTAAAAATAACTGTGTAGCAAGCTTCTAATGCAACTATCTTCATAAGTAATGAAAACAAGACAATATGCATTTAAATGTATATTTCAAATAACTGAATGACTTTTTATAATGATTGTTGTTTGGAAATAACTTTTCATCAGTATGGTTACCAACAAAAACAAACTATTGATTTTGTTATGGTTATCATAAGAAGTTGATTTTGTTGCTCCTGCATCACTAGTTTAAACACTGATACAGAGCTTAGCAACAGAAGCAAATATAAAGAAAGTATGACTTCTTCATACAGAGGAAATCACTAGTGTTTCTATTACTGTTTATTTTGTAAAAGCTTGATGGGAAGTGTACTGTTATCTATATACATAACCTTCCTTATATATCTGTGTAGAAATCATTGTTTCCTTGGAAAGAAAAATGAGTTACACAATTCTTAATGGAGAATGGAAATGGGGAATGTGTCAAAGAGACAACAACCCGACCATAGAGCAGAAAACAGCTGAAGGCCACCAATGGGTCTTCAACACAGCGAGAAAATCCCGCACCCTGTGCTTGTTTTTCAATAACATGCTTGTGGTTATTTCAAAAGAGTAAACAATGGTGTGCATTAGTTCCTTTTTACACAAAGTCAGATCACAGGAATATATCTTTTATTTTATTCTAACATACAAACCCTTCCACTTTTTGTTTCCAATTCTTTAATGAATAAATGATGGTAATCTTCTTGTGCAAGTTCTCTCTACAATATAAAAAGAAACTATTTCATTCATTTCAGCAAAAAATAAGAAAAGCTAAGAAAAAATAAAAAAATAAAACTAATAATACTGTGAACACATTTTTTTATCCTGGTTTAAATTTTTGTGTATTTAGGATGAAATGTAGTTTTATGAATACTTGACTTGATGGTTTTGACACATACAAACTGATAGGAAATGGGACTTTTTGGGGTTCATCTATACCCATGAAATCCTCAAAATCATCTCATGTGTACTAATTGGAACATATTTGATAGAGTTGGCGAAGCCATAACTGACATACTCAATATGAATTTAAAGAAACAGTATTTGTATATAAGGGTGTTACTGGTGTTCTTAAGGATAGGATAAAGTAAGTCAGTTAAAGGAAATGTATTTGATTAGAATACACTAATGTATCAAAAAATCACTTCCAAACTGACCAGCATGGTAAGAAAATGTCCAGACAAGTACATGTTCATGATATTTTTCTTAGTTTAAGCCACTCCATTAACATGATTAAGGCCATAATTCTATAAAATGATCAACAGGAGCAAAAAGGAAATTTATTCTATATCTATAAGTCACTGATATACAAAAAAGGAAGTTCAAGATCAGCCAGCATTACAAAAACAAGAGTGCACACGCTGAAATGTCTCGCCTGCTTTACTTATGATTGAATTTAGGTTGAAAGACTGTAATATGAAAGTTTTACTACAAGTATCACTTAAACTTAACATTATTAATGAACCATAAAAATGAGGTCAAGGTAATAGAAACCCTGCCAGACAGACATGTACACCTTACAATCAGTCCATACACCAAATATTGTTTACCTATTGCTTATAGTAACTGGTTACATGACATAACCATGAAAATGGGGTGAAGGTCATATGAAACCGGCGAGACAAATATGTACACCTTACAATCATTCCATACACCAACTATAGTTGACCTATTGCTTATAGTAACTGATAAACTGACATAACCACAAAAATCTATCATTGACCAATGAACCATGAAAATAAGGTCAAGATCATATGAAACCTGCCAGACAGACATGTACACCTTACAATTATTCCATACACCAAATATACTTGACCTATTAGTTGTATTAAGCGAGAAATAGACCATACCACAAAAACTAAAAATTGTCCATGTACACCTTACAATCATCTATACACCACATATAGTTGACCTGCTGCTTATAGTATATGAGATACGTATACAGATAAAATTGAGAATGGAAATGGGGAATGTGTCAAAGAGACAACAATCCGACCATAGAGCAGACAACAGCCGAAGGCCACCAATGGGTCTTCAATGTAGCGAGAAACTCCCGCACCCGGAGGCGTCCTTCAGCTGGCCCCTAAACAAATATGTATACTAGTTCAGTGATAATGGACGTCATACTAAACTCCAAATTATACACAAGAAACTAAAATTAAAAATGACACAAGACTAACAAAGGCCAGAGGCTCCTGACTTGGGACAGGCGCAAAAATGTTTTTTGAGATCTCAACCCTCCCCCTCAGAGTTGATCACATAACTTTAACCTTGATAACTGATCCATGGAATGAGGTCGAGGTCATGTGAACCCAACCTGACGTACATGTAGACATTGCAAAGAACCCATATACCAAATATTATTACCCTTTTACTCATAATAAGGGAGTATTTCACTTTTCAAAAAACCTGTAATTTAAAGCAGTAACTGAACCATGAAAATGAGGACGTTTGAGGAAACTTAGTTACAAGGTATGAAGCATCCAGGTCTTCTAGCTTCTGAATTTAAATATAAATCTTTATTCAAATAGTTTATGCTGCAAGCAGTCAGATTGTAAGGCGAGACAAAAATTGAGATAAGTAAAATTTTAAGTGAGACCAAGGGACATAATTCAACTGGAAAGAAATACAAATTCAATCTTTAAGTTTTAATAAAAAAAAAAACAAACAATCTAATGTACAATAATGCAGATAAATATATATATATATACTGAAAATAAGTCGAGATAACTATTGGATTACAAAAAAAGGGAATTTGGTAACACTATATGCCCAGGCCACTTAGTGAGGCTGAAAAAGTATTGTCACATAACAATTCAATGACTCCATTCTTAAAGGTGAATTAACCACTAAATTAAACAGATTTCAACTTTGACATCTGACTGCTTTACCCTTCACCCTGCTGTTGTTGATTCCAACTACAGGTATGTCTAACTTTCTGACATACATGTATAAATTTTCATGTGACTGGTGTGCTTAGAAAATGAGATCAGATCCAGAGAAACAGACAGACTCAAAGTAAATTATATTATAAAATTCTTATCCTCTTGTACAAATCTTTTTCATAGTGATCACTGTCAAGATCAATATTCCAACTCTTGTGAAACATTTTTTTAAACAAAAAAGTCCCTATCAAATGGGTACCTTGGGTGTGGCATCATAAACACAAATACAGCATGAAGTCAAGGGAATGTAAAACAAGATGTATATTAAAAGGAAGTGTGGACACAGAGTAATATGCTGAGCACAGACTGTGATAAATTTTAAAACCAAATAACCAATCAAAGTACTGTAAATTCAGAATTTATTGCACGGTTTTTAATGCGTATAATGGGATTGGGTAAGTTTCGCAATAATAGGAACTCCCATTCTAATATCTGATACATATATCTGTATGGAGATTTTCATGAAATCGCAATAATTAATCTCACATTTTTGTTCATTTTTTAAAAATCACAATAATAAATGCATGCAATAATTTGCAAATTTACAGTATTAGAGCATAGTAAAATAACATGTTTTATTCTAAATGATTTCAAATTGTTATGCTTTATAAAGTTGAAAATAGATTTAAGATATTTAAGATGTATGCTTAAGGGTTTTTTACTGTAACATCTTAAACATATAAAGGTACAACGATTACTTATTTTTGTTGTTGTTGGTGTATACATTTACATATAAAAAGCTGTACCTTAGGTCCAAGTTCTTTATGGTTTAGCATAAGATCTTGTATGCCTTTCCTGAGCATGTTGAGCATTTTGTATCTATGATGGTCCATATCAACCTCAACCACTCCTTTTCTGTTAAAATGTTTACGTAGTCTAACCCAGGCATTGCTACGTCTTGGTTTCCCTTCTGATGAACCAACTTTTTTCCCTCCCGATGGACCAACTTTTGACATAACATTGGATAGCTTATAATAGTACTGGATAACTTTGAAATTACAAATGCAATATCATCTTATCTGAAAAAGACAATATAAAATTGATAAATATAGAAATATCTACACACATATAATAAGTATGAAGAAAACAAATTACTGGTACACATAAAAAAAAATGACAGTAAAATTATTACAATGTATATATATTATATACATGAATATAATGAGTTTAGGTTATAAAATGGCTACCACCACAAGACCCTAAATACTTTGTATCTGTTTTTCCTTATTTTCATATTATCCTCATGATCATCCAATTGGAAAATAGTGGGCCACCTAAACCAAACTTAGAAGGAATTTAGGAAAGGTCACTTATACATTTTTATTCTTGTTTCAAAATTTTCTAAAGACAATACAATCAGAGACAACTCTTTATTATGACTTGAATCATTAAATTTCTTCTCCAATGAAAGTACATGAAGACTAAAAGTTTTCAAACTTTATATAGAAATTTCTGTAAAGGGATTCCTGTTCAGGTGCTGATTAGGAGACAAGCCTGCTGGTGGAAATGTCCATGCATAGGTTACAACTGAACTCTACTGGGAATAACAATTTAATGAAACAACTACTACCAGGCAAATCTGGAATAGCGTATGGATTCTAGAAAAAAACCATGAAAACGCCCTCATTTTATTCTGAACCACAAAAATAACCAGATTGATACAAGAGCATGAAGAGATGATCTTGAATTTAAAATTAGTCAGTAGCCTGATCTGAACACATTTTTACATCCAATTCCAATATAGGGCTTTGTTATATATATTTACATACAATTTGGACTTTTATAATTACCTGTAAGAAGAAAATAATAAAGAATACCAAAAAACAATTTAAATTTTAAGTATAAAATTATATCTGTCTTCTAAACAAAATTAATTTCTAATAAAGGTGATGGTAATTTACAGATAGAGGTTCCATATTGTATATATGCAATTGCTGGCATAGTGTATCAATCAAAATTGAAAAGTAATAATAATCTTACCAATAAGTCAAACATTCAGAATATTTATCAGGTTCAAATAAAGGTTATATTTATAAATTTATATTTATCAATAATTTATCACAAATGACCTAAATGACCAGTTCATTTATCACTTAAATAAACATTAATAACCATTACATATTATCAATTCAAATCAAGCAATATTTTTCTGCTGACCATATACATACTGATAATAAATGGATATACAGTGTGCATCATCTGAGAATTGGTTTCCTTAAGTGAGTTACATGTTTAGGGCCAGATCCAGGCTTTTGAAAGGGGAGGCGTAATTCCCAAAAACTGAATAAAAAAAACTTTTGGACAATTTTATACTAAAAAATTATATATATTTTTCAATCAAAGGAGGGTGAACTTCCTTTATGCCCACAGCACCCCCACCTGAATCTACCACATCGTAGCTAAAGTTGAAAAGGTTTCTTATATTAAAATATGTAAATTCATTAATATTAAAGAGGTTAGACTCTTTTGGCAAAATTTGATGACAGCTTTACATGTCTCATGAAAATAATAAGTCAAACTCAGAATTGCCATGGTATTGCATCAATGACAGAGTAGACTTTTAATGTCAAAGTCATTAACTGACTAACACCACAAAATGTACTTGGAGCAGAAAAAAACCCTGTGCACCTGGAATAGTTTTAAGGTTTATGTACGGCTAGACCTAGATAAACAAGCATTCTGTGAGCATTGCATGGCAATACATAGTCCCCTACCGGTAAAAAGTTCATTGCATTGGAACAAAATTATAACTTGATCTATAACTTGTCATGGTGTAAACTATATAACAAATATCAAGTCAATATCTTTAAGCATGACAAAAAAAGTGCGGAAAACTGATTATTTTAGTGATTTTTCTAAGTCAAAGGACCATAACTCTGCACAAAATCATCAGACCGGAACAAAATTTGAACTTAACCTGTATCTTGTCATGATTAAATAAGACATTAAAAATCAAATCAATATTTTCAAGCATGAAGAAAAAAAGTGTGGAAAACTGATTTGCTGGACTGACGGATGGACAGATAGACGGACAGAGTGCAAACCTAAAGTCCCCTTCGACTTCGTCAGTAGGGGACTAATAAAAGTTTTGTGCATTGTGCGTTTCAGAAATTTATTAGTTTTGGGAATTTTGATATTCATTTTTTTTTAGCCCATACACATGATACAAGGAGTTGGTAAATTAACAAACACATCAATTTCTGAATACGGTCCACTCAGTTACACATTTGAAACCACCTATTTTTTTGCATATATATACTATCCCTCTAGTATTGTCCATTTGAATCAATACAATTCACTACAATTTTTACACCAGGAGATTAAAAAATTTTCCAACTATTACAAATGAAAAAAAGGAATCTCAAAATCAAGGTACATGTAAGTTTCATTTTCTGAAACATAAAATGCATTTAAAATTTATTTATCTAGTTTCTGTCATGCCTTAATTTTTCAGGTTTTAATGTATGTCTGTACTTAGAGTAAATTTTGTGGTGATAACACAGCCATATTTTTCAATTCCTTGTCAGATGAGGTTAACACTAATAATGTCCTGACGGATATGAAAATGCTAAATACTTTTTTATTATTTGAATGATTGACTTCAAATTTGGAATCATGCAAAATGGCAACATTTATTTAATAAATACAAGAAAAAATATTTTACAAAATAATTTCAAGAGTTAAAAACTTGACCTGACCAATGTCAACTTCGTACTAGGAACAACAAAATTATTTATTTTGTAAAAAATATTTCCGTACTCCATGTATACCTTACAACAAAATTATTTTTATTTACCTGTGTACGTTATTTTATTTGGTGGCATTTTGTCCAAGGTTATGGTTGTCTTTCTGATATTGTTAAACATCTAACCCCCTTGTTTTATTAATTTTGTATTTACATTGTGTCAGATAGATCAAATTTATTCGTTCAGTGTATGTTCACTTGTTTTTGTTAATATGTCTTTTGATTGAGTTAAGCCATTTCAATTGATATTTTATAGTGTGTCTTCTATGTTGTGATGTTACACTATTGTTTCAGGTAGGGTGAAGGTTGGCGCCTATTAAAACGTTTAAACCCACTGCATTTGTTTGCACCTGTCCTAAGTCTGGAACCTGATGTCGTTTGTTGATGTGGTTCATAAGTGTTTCTCGTTTTTTTATATAGATTAGACCGTTGGTTTTCCTGTTTGAATGGTTTAACATTAGTAATTTTTTGGGCACTTTATAGCTTGCTGTTCAGTGTGAGCCAAGGCTCTGTGTTGAAGGCCCGTACTTTGATCTATAATGGTTTACTTTTACATATTGTGACTTGGATGGAGAGTTGTCTCATTAGCATTCATACCACATCTTCTTATATCTATTTGCTCTGACTAATGTTCTGACCAATATGGCTAAATTTCTTTTTTATTATGAGTAGGCATTGACTTAAAAATTTAAACCAAGCAAGTTGAAGAGCATAATACTCATTTTATAAATATCAGAAAAAATATTGGAAAAAAATATATTAAGGGTAAAAAAAACTTTACATGACTGACATTGGCTCTGTCCTGACAATGTTGTGATGGTTGGAAAATGGAACTAACTTTTTTTATTTCTTATATAAATTTCTTCAAGTTTTTTTTTGCATATCAAGATTTATTTATTGTTTAAACGAATATCATAAAAAAATTGAAAAAAAATATTAACATGATTAAAGGGTAAACAAACTTGACCTTAATTGTGGTGAACCTATACAATTGATGTATCACTGCTGAAATTATTAACCTTCAAACTAAAAAGCATGATTTATGTGTACTTTTAGTATCAATTTTATGACAAGTTACATAAATACCAGAATATATATATATTCAACATGTTGAAATGCCTGCCGCCTGGAAACATGTAAACAGGAAGTTCTGTTCGTATTTTTAATCTGATTGAAAAAGTATAGTAAGTTCCGAATGGCGATAGGAAAGTGAAAGTAGAGAAATAGGAAACTACATGTGAGTTGAGTTTGCTGAATGTACAGTAACATACCGATTCATAGACCCTTTAAACAAAAATATAGACAAAGAAAATCAGTTGACCCATTTTTTGCAAGACACAATGTGAGGCCATAAGTATTCGTCACTTGAGATTTTTCTTTAGCAATAAATCCCCAAATGAGTTACAATACCTTAATTGAAAAATTTTACTAAAGATGGCACAAATATATAAAAAATGGAACCATTTTTCTGAAAGAACCATATTTTTTTTGGAGGGAGCAGACCTGCCAACTTTTGAAAATCTCCATGGGGGATTTAGTGCGCGACCAGATTTTTAAAGGTTACAATTTTTGCGGCGTTTCTGTGTGCACTGTTTTTTACTCTTGAAATAGTCTCATATCTCTTCTTTTTTTCTTTTGGTATACTGATGATGAGCTAATAAGCCTTGATTTCTTTTATTTGCATGATTCTTGTACTTATTAATTGGCAATATAACTTAATAGAGAAAAATGACCTAAAAAAAATAAAGGATACAAAGTGAAGACCCCCCAGACCCCCCTTTTCCCCCTCCAAAGACCTTCTTATCTTTGCACCATGACTCTAAAGACCTAAACCTTAATGTTCTAAAGTAGGAAGGATGAAGACAGATTTTGAGTTAGTCTATCAGTATTAATGAGAAAATGGATAAAATTTGAGTTATCTCCCTTTGTGATCAGAGGTGCTCTTACCGGCGGAGGCTTATACACAATAGAGGTGAACACAAAATGGTGTCGATTTTAAATCAGAACTGGACAGAAACACCTCTGATTTCAAAATTTTTAACGGATTTCAAGATAAACGCTGTTTTCTTATGAGTTCATTACAGTTTTCGTCTTTCAGTTAATTACGATTTTGTTATGAAACTACGGTAAACGTTGCAAATTGTGATGGTATGATAAATTGTTTAGAATTGAAATGCCGACTGACCGATTCTGTTTACAAATTAATTAATTTTGACGATTGTTATGACCCATCAGGTAAGCAGATAACATGTAACAACAAATTATGACACCTGATGTGACCGTTTATTAGCATAGGGTCGTAAACTTGTCATAAATATGTTGCCAAGTCAAATTATAAATTTATAGAAATTGATCAGAAAAACTTCAAAATCTGTAACCAATAATTTTTTCGGGTATATTTTATGAAAATCAAGATTTTGACTTGTTTTACGATCCTGATATCGGGATTCGGGTTGAGGCATGAAAATTGGGATGATACAGCCAAAATCGGGATAGTTGGCAGGTCTGAGGGGGGGTTAAAAATCAGTAGCTTTTAAAATTTTCTTGTAGCTTTTCATTAAATCAGTTTACAACTATTTATCTTTAGGAAAGCTTGTTGCATTTTTCATGAATATGTGCTATTTCAAACATAAAATTAGGTTAATAGAAAAAAAAGATTTTTTATACTAGAAAAGTTTTCCACATTTGAGGGATAGTTTTACATTTGGGGGACCCTTCCCCATTTGGTTGGTTGTCCACAACTTGTTAACATTACTTCACTTCAGTTATTCCCATTACATAAACATAAAACTCCACTTTAAAGAAACCATAACTCCCCTTTGCTCTGCATAGAGCCATGACATTCTTGAGGGAGCTGTATAAACCCCCAAAACTGTAATTACAGGAATCCAACTCTGTCTTTAGCAAATTCTATATACCATAAAATTTGTATAGAGTTTGGGACTTCAACTAAGACCAATAAAAAGTTAAGTTTGTTTCCCCTGGCCCCTGCATGCTGGATCTCATTAATGCTCCACTGTAAAAAAAAAATTTTGCCTCAGCAAAGACAACCTAAATATGTTAAATGGATTAAATCTATGTAAATGGTTTTCTTTGCTGAGGCAATTCTGTACTTGATTCTTCTTCACCAGTATGCTGGTGATGCAGTTTTATACTGAATGCTTAGCACTTGTTGAAAGCAGAAATTGCATGCACATTAAAACTGCATGTCACTTTGCACCAATTTCTTAAATGGATGAGAGAGACACCAATGGCTGACCCAATTATTTCAAGTTCCAACTTACACAAGAAATTCTACTCGTATCATATCTTTTCCCTTTAGAGTTTGATAAAAATAATCAAAAAGGTTTATGTCAATTTTGTTTTAAAGGTGTGCTTTATAAAATTATCTTTTAAGCTCATAATTCAAAGAGAAATTCATGTTTCAGACTTGATATAATTGCTTAGTTAAACTCATTTTCTTTCTTTGAGAAATATATGCTCACTTATTTTGTTTTTGCAACTTTACTTAAATGTATGTCAAACATCTTCACTTGTGAAAACAGATCTATAACAATTTTTTTTTTTCTTGGATACCATGGATACTGTAGTTGAAAGTAGTGTGATGTTTAATTCAATATATATTCTATTCCAATACCTATTTTAATTTTTGTTCCATATAAAAATTTCTTCATTCAGTTAAATATTATATTTTTTGTCAGTTTTCCTTGATTTATTTTTTGCTTGTCAATTGACAGACAGAGGTTTTATTCAGAATCAAGTTCCCCTAATATTTTGTTACAAAAAGTAAAATTACAAAAATACTGAACTCCAAGGAAAATTCAAAAAGGAAAGTCCCTAATCAAATGGCAAAATCATACAACAGGAACATACAACTGGTGCCCAAGAAACAATTTGACTAGTTAAACATATAATTTTTATAATACTGTGTGAATGCAGTATTATTAGTGGGATATCAGATTTCATGGCTTTCGTGGGTATAAGTGAACCACAAATTTAAATGTTCATCAAAGTACAAGTACAAATTTTCTTTTTGCTACATGTAATTTGCAAACTATGGCAACACCAAGAAATCAAATATCCACGGAAATGCAGTTTTTTCTCATTCCAAGTAAATTGGTACCACTGAAAATAAATGAATTCACAGTATTGGGAAGGGCTGTTCCATATTAAATGTGTAGTCAGATTGGTATTATATTTTTATAACCTCAGCCACCCACAAATTGTAACAATGTATTTTATTTCAATTCTATGTGATTCTTAAAACTGTTTGTTGCTGTTGTAAAAAATACATAACATTTGATTAAATATCAATTTACAGATTGTATGTTAAGAAAACTTAGTAAATATGGCTGATAATGATTGTACCAGTCCAAGATTTTCCACTGAAGAACACTCTGAGATTGGTGATTTGAAATACATTACTGCATCCCCAACAGAAAAGTCACCCCTTGATGAAAAGACTTCTGATAGAAGTGAAAATGAGAACTGTCTTGGAGGACCTTCATTTTATCCCCCTTTATACATACAGAGATACACCTTTGTGAAAGAAATCCTTGACACATTGCAACCAGAAAGTGTAAGTGATTTTGATATCAGTATAAAATTTCTAGAATGACAGTATATATGTTAGACTCAGATCAATGTATGGTCTGTAATGGATGTCTATCCCTCAAATAGGAATCCAATCTGACGTCACAGTCTCAAATCGAGGTCCAAATTTTTTTATCCTGTAATCTGCAGCCAACTTGACATTGCCAAACTGATGTCTGATTGCAGTCTCATAATTGAAGCCTAATATGCCCGATTCATTTATTCACGGTTTGCTTAATATTTCTGTTATTTTTGGTTGTCTCAATTGATATTTCTGTCATCTTTAGTTATTTCTGTTATCTTTAGTTGTCTTGATTTATATTTTTGTTATCTTTAGTTGCCTTGTTTGATATTTCTGTTACCTTCAGTTGTGTCTATTAGTATTTCTGTTTCCTTTATTTGTCTCCATTGATATTACTCATTTCTGTTAATTTTAGCTGTCTCGATTGATATTTCTGTTATCTTAAGTTATCTCAATTGATATTTCTGTTATCTTAAGTTGTCTCAATTGATATTTCTGTTATCTCTAGTTGCGATTGATATTTCTGTTATCTTTAGTTGTCTCAATTGATATTTCTGTTATCTTTAGTTGTCTCAATTGATATTTCTGTTATCTCTAGTTGCTATTGATATAGTTGTCTCAATTGATATTTCTGTTATCTCTAGTTGCGATTGATATTTCTGTTATCTTTAGTTGTCTCAATTGATATTTCTGTTATCTTTAGTTGTCTCAATTGATATTTCTGTTATCTCTAGTTGTGATTGATATTTCTGTTATCTTTAGTTGTCTCAATTGATATTTCTGTTATCTCTAGTTGATATTTTATCTTTATATTATTCTGTCTTAATAGAATTCATTACAAATCATAAAGTCATCATGGTATGACTAAATAAAATTATGAAAAAGAATGTAAAAGGACACAGCATCCCATCTGAAAAGAAACAGCTCAAAACAAAAATTAGGAAGGATATGGGTAAATGATGCTGATACAACCACCAATTACAGATTTAATGGGCATTGATGTTGTCTGCTCTTTGGTCGGGTTGTTGTCTCTTAGACATATTCCCCATTTCCATTCTCAACTTTATTGATATTTTGTTCACAGAAAATGTTGATTCCATAAAATCCATTCAATCTATTTTATTTTTCCATTTATGTCTTTAAAAGAATCTAAAGTTTCTTCTGCATTTTTTATTCATTTTCACATATTCTTCTTTGAAATGTACAGTTGAGGTGCATTTTGTTAGATTATTACAGTCATCATGTGCTATTAAATCAGATATAAAACAAAAACACACCAACAAACAATTACTAATTATATATTTTGTAAAAAAAGATAACATTTTATTTGTGTTTAGGTTGTGGATTTTGGATGTTCTGAATGTGGAATATTTCGACACTTGAAAGAAGTCATTACTCTTTTAAGAATAAGTCTTGTTGATATTGACTTGTCTACACTTGAGGTCAACAAACGTCGTATTAGACCTCATTGTTATGACTACCTCCAGAAGAGGAAGAACCCATTACATGTACAAATCTTTGATGGTAGTGCAACCAAATTTGATGCCAGATTTAGGGACTATGAGGCAGTCACTATGGTTGAATTGTAAGTTTCCTTTACTTTTAATTAACAGGTAAACAGATCAAGTAAGCTTATATCAAATTAACCATCATCCATCTTTTGATAAAGAAGAGTTAGAAATTGGGAAAATGATTATCAAATTTATGTTTCAAAGATAACATAACAGAAGATGCATATAAAAATTTCTAAGTTTAAACAAATTTAGATAGTTTATGATAAAATACTAAAATGACTAAGAAGCTAATACTGTAAAGAAAGACTTCCGATATATGTTGGACAATTATCAAGAAATCACTGTGTCCATTTTGATACCAAATTATCCATACAGTCAAACTTCATTTTTCTTGACAATGGTAACTTGATTGCAATAGATGACAAAGCTAACGATAACTGTAAACATGAAATATCTTTACATTTTGTACAAAATACAGAAGTCCATCAACTTTAACCATTTCAGATATGAGCATTTTCGGCAGTCAACACTTTAGTACATACCTATTGTACAAGGCTTATTTTCTGATTGACAGCTATTGATCATCACTGCTCACTATAATTTAACTGGCTGCAGAAATAAGTATTCCCTCACTTTACCTTCCTTCAGTATTTTAATATGGATGCATCCATGTTCTACAGGACTGGGCACTTCTGTTTCTTCGACCAATAAAAACTGGCCACTATGAAATAGCCAATAGTACTGAAAGTGGCATTAAAACAACAAAAATCAATCAATCAATGTTCTTCAAGATGCTTCTTTGAACTTTCATTATTTACAATTTAATATAGGAAAGCTAGCAATTTTCATACCCTACCTACGATAGTAGAGGGGCATTGTGTTTTTCAGTCTGTGCGTCCCTTCAATCATTTGTTCATCCGTCTGTCCATACGTCCGTCTGTCCCGCTTCAGGTTAAAGTTTTTGATCAAGGTAGTTTTTGATGAAGTTGAATACCAATCAACTTGACACTTAGTACACCTGTTCCCTATGATATGATCTTTCTAATTTTAGTGCCAAATTAGAGTTTTGACCCCAATTTCACGGTTCACTGAACACATAAAATGATAGTGCGAGTGGGGCATTCGTGTACTATGGACACATTTTTGTTTTTTATAAAATATTAAATAGTCATTAATAATTTTCTTGAAAGTTGAAAAATATGAAGAAATTTTCAGTTACATTTCAAATTACTGGAAAGAACTAGTGAAAAATCATGTTTTAAGATATCCATCCTTTTTGAATTATTTTTACCAAGTTTTCTAACATTGTCTATTTCAGCATCGAACATTTGTATGATAGGGATTTAAAAGAAGTCATCACAATGGTATTTGAATGTATATGTCCAAAGTTTGTTATCATGACAACTCCAAATTTTGAATTTAATGAACTGTTTCCAGGACCACGGAAATTTCGTCATTATGATCACAAATTTGAATGGACAAGGTCACAATTTCAGACATGGTTAGTTTAATTTACATTCTAAACACTGAATTTTATCTTACAGTAATAGGTCAAAGTGCGAAAAACTCATTAACATTTTTTACGGTCTGTCTAGAAGGTTTTTACTATTAGTTTTACTTTTTCTGGCACAAATTGCTATAATTGAATTGGCCACACTTGATATTTGTTTTTCTATTATTCTTTCATCATAGAATTTAACTTTTGCTCATGACTTAAAATGCAGGTGTGTTTCAATTTTTATACGCCCGTCAAAATTTTGACGGGAAGTATTATGGTATACAAATGTCGTCTATCCGTCTGTCCGGCGTAAACATGTCACACCGTAACTTGAGAACGACTTATCCAAATTTCATGAAACTTAACATAGATGTTTCTTATGATGGTCAAACGATCTGTATACTTTTTGGTGAAAATAAGATTAAAACTTTTTGAGTTACGGGACTTAGTAACTAAAACAGGTTTGTGTTTTTTTTTCACATGTTGCGCCGTATCTCAAAAACAATTTATGAATATGGCTTAAAACTTTACACACTTCTCAGTTATATTAATCTTAAGATCTGTATACTTTTTGGTGATGATTCAAAATTTTATTTTAGAGATATTGAGTATTTTGTTAAAAAAGGGGGAGGGGTTTTTCACATGTCGCGCCGTATCTCAAAAACAGTTTATGATTATTGCTTAAAACTTTACACACTTCTTAGTTATATAAATCTTAAGATCTGTATACTTTTTGGTGATGATTCAAAATTTTATTTTTGAGTTATTGAGTATTTTGTAGAAAAAGGGGGAGGGGTTTTTCACATGTCGCGCCGTAACTCAAAAACGATTTATGATTATTGCTTAAAATTTTACACACTCCTTAGTTATATTAATATAAAGATCTGTATACTTTTTGGTTTTGATTCAAAATTTTATTTTTGAGATATTGATTTTTTTTTTTTAAAAAGGGGGTTTTCACATGTCGGGCCTTATCTCAAAAACAATTTATGATTATTGCTTAAAATTTTACACACTTCTTAGTTATAATAATCTAAAGATCTGTATACTTTTTGGTTTTGATTCAAAATTTTATTTTAGAGATATTGAGTTTTTTGTAAAAAAAGGGGTTTTCGCATGTCAGGCCGTGTGTCAGAAACTATTTATGATTATTGCATAAAAATTCACACACAAGACGACGGGCATATCATGTGCTCATGGCGCAGCTGTTTATTTGTCATGGACTGCAAGACAATTTTTGTATTTTCTATTCCCTGAACCTACAGATGTTTTTAAATTTATTTAAAGACCACTTGAATTTTCTATAACCAGAGTGAAACATTGCCATTTATGATTTTTTTATCATAAGTGGAACTCTATAAAGTAAATCACATTATGGTCAAGTTAGCTGCTACATCAATTCTAGTTAGGGGAGAGGGGGAGGGGGGTCAGGAGGATTTTTAAAAGTAATATCCTTGGCTGGTAAGAGCTGAAGATAAGTAACCTTGCATAAGACAGGATTAAAATGAACATTTTGCAACACAATATGCAGATAACCAGAGAAACAAAAGTGAAAATAATTTGTTCCACAGCATAGCAACTGGGAAAAAAATAAGCATGCATAGCCACAGATATAAATGAAGAGTCGATCAATTAGAGAAAATGCTGCATAAAAATAATGCTATAAAACATAATTGTGAGTTTTTATTTTTGCAACTCCTATCCCGTCTCAAGTATTGCATTAATAAAAACATTGCACAAATTTCTCAATTTACATTATGAATGCTATATGAATGTTTCAGGTGTAATGATATATGTGGTAAATACAGATATGACAGTAAGTTTTATGGTATAGGAGAAGGACCGGCTGATTCACATTCTCTAGGTAGCTGTTCCCAAGCAGCTGTATTCACCAGAATAGGAGACAAACAACAGATCAACTCGAATGTAGAACAAGATACATATTCATTGGTAAATCCTAGATACATTTTAAATGCTTAAAAGTACTTCTTTCAACATATTTTTGTATTCTTTTTCTTTTAAAAGCTTTGAGAACAATATGTAATTTTATCTGTGTATGATTCTTTTTATTTCTTAAACATTACAAGCATCAAATTCTGCATGAACATTATTTGAAATTTAGATTTTTCACATGAAAAAAATTTTGATTCCAGCTTTTTAGAAATTGCATCTGAAATTCCTGTAATTTTAAACTAAGAATCTTTAACCAGTGAAAATTACCCAAATTTTATTATTGAATGGTTCTTTTACAATTTGATATCAAAATACTTATATTTTGACATATATAGACTGACAAATTTTATATATAAATCATGAATATTTTTATTTCAAAATTCATTTGCATTTTTTAGTGTTTTTTCATTGATATGCATAAGCATGAGTTCTAGCACATTAAATCATATAAATTTTCTATAAATCCAGATTTCTTTTTGAAGGGAAGACTATACATGAATAATTTAATTTTGGATGTAACACGTCTTCTGATTAGCTGACGTTGTTTTGTTTATCAGCTCATAGACATAATTTTGTCATATGACCGCGACGTCATCAACATTTTTTCAAGGTTTACTTCGATTTAAAATGGAATTTAGAATTAAATTATAAGAAATGACTGTAATATTTTTTCTGTCTATTTGAAATAACATAAAAAATGTGGTGCACACTTTAAAATAACCCGCTACACGTGTTATTCAGTGTGCACCACATTTTTGATGTTATTTCTTCATAGACACAAAAAATATTACAGTCATTCCTTTTAAGAATAAAAAAAATAATGCCTTTTTAGTTCATTGCAAAACAAAATATGAATGATTGTAATAGTAAATTCACTCTCATTATTCTGTTTATTTATTTCATAGGTACAGCTGCAGATTTAATATCATATCTAAATTATGAAATGTGAATTAACAGAATTATCTCAAGTTTAAAGAAAAACTTACAGAACCAAAACGGAATAAGAAATAAAGGTTAAAAAGTTTAATTGAGTTCCCTTAGTTTATTTGTTTTGTTTAATTACAAAACCCTGCAATAGTGTAAATTATTGTTAATTCTGTTCCAAAACTGCATTAACATTTTCAATTTCAGGTAGCAGAAAGCATTTATCCTCATCAGGATATTGAACAGAGAGACCCAGAGGAAGTTTTAGCATCAGAAATAGATTATGCATTGTCTTTCATGTCCAAGTGTTCAGACTTTTATGATGAAGAAGAAACCTCAGCTTTTATACCTATTGATAAATTGATATCTTTTAAGTCAATTAAAAGTTTATGTGATTCTGATCAATTAAGGTAAGTTGATATACTATTTTCAGGCTGTAAAACATTTTTAATTTCATAATTTCTATTTTATAGAAAAGCAGAACTGTGTTACTATGTATAAAAAAATAAAGAAACTACCTAAAATTGAGAAATAATTGACTTTATTAAAATAAAGAATTAGCTTTTGTTTATTTAAATTGTATGATTAAATTGAGATGTGGGGTAACCATCTATGATACAGGAACCCAATGACAAAAATAAATAAAAGACAACTAGAAGTCAATAAATAGTCATCTACATTAGACTGATGATTATATAATATGTCAAGCTCTTTATGGTTCCTATTTAATAAAAGTTGTTAATAAATTTTGAATAACAAAGGACGATTAAATTTTGTGAAAAATGTCTATATTTAAATAGAATGTGTGTGAAAAGCTTTGAAAAATATGTAGTTTTCACTTTAAATTTCATATTCCAGAATCATGTATCAGTCAGGATTCTACTTTGTCAAAATTATCTCCCCATTACGCCACATAATTTTTTTAATTGTGAAAATGGAGGCCATTGTAGGGATGATACGCTGTCAATTAAGATCTTCAAAACAGATAAATTTATTCACATAACATCATTACCATCCTTTAATGACAGTTATATTTTAAAAGACAAATGTATCTACTAGTTATTCAGCATCATTTAGTATACTTTTATGTCTTTTGTCAACTAAAAACTATTGTCTGGTCGGTTGTCGGGGGGGATTTTCAAAAGTTTAAATAACATAATAAATTTTTTTTAATTAAATGTTTTGTGAAAGGGCAGACTAAAGGTTGAAGACTAATTACCTTAAATACCACACACAAAAAATGAAATTTATTTTGTAGATATGCCTAAAAAAGATTCACAAGTAAAGTCTGTTGTCAAATGCATTTAGTAAAAATGTGTTGTTCAAACACACCTACTCTGTTGTATGACTCAGAAAGGTATTTCACTTGACCCATATTTTCATTTCTTGGTAATTTGAAATTTTAATGTTATTATATCAACAAGTAGCCTAAATATATAAGGATAATGGAATCTAAAGTGAGATACTGTATCCAATATTTTTGCTTTATATGTTTTCAAGACAAAACAGTCAACTCAAACACACCTGAACATAAAAAGGTTTACTCAACTTTCCCTTTTCAATTAGAATGTTGCCCATTTTGAGGATTTTTTTACAAAAAACTGTAACAGGGGGCAGAGATGCAAATTAAAGCTTTAAAAAGACCAATCTTTTATCTTTCTGTGCATTTTTTTCCCGTGGAATTTATGCTTATGCACAAAAAAAATCCACATGTATATGCACCTACCTAAATTACCTGTTTTGTGAAAATTTTAATTTAATTTAAAAGTTTTCAAATATCTTGAAGCTCCATACTACAATTTAAGTATACCCACATATATAAGATGCAAAACATTATAAATAATGCACCTACATTAAACTTTTAAAGCCCATAGAAACAGATGTAAACAATTCAAATATACCGACTTTACCATTTTTACCTTCTCTAATAAAGAGTTCCATTTCTTTTGTTTAGTTTCAAATAGATATCAGCCTGGTATCATACATCCAAAATCTTATGTCTCCACTGTTGGGCTTTATATGTGCTCATTAGGCTAATGTATAAATCCATGTACTATATACCAGTACATGTCTACCTTTTTAAATGCTGCAAATATCAGTAGTGATATATCAGTACACACCAGATATGTCATATAGTAATTTTAAATTGTTCATTTTTAATAGTGAAGTTATGTCTTGTAACCTAATAAAGGTTTTTAACAAGTGGTGCATTCAAGATTTCTGAATAATGACTAAATGTATTTAAGGTCAAGGTGCAGTTAATGGGCTATGCCACAGATTTTGGTAAAATTTTGCATACAACTTTGGCTGGTTTAACTTTAACTGAAACTTACAAAAAACGATAAGCATTTAAATCTTGTTTTTTGGGAAATATTACAGAATAAATTCTTTCAAAATAGGTAAACATTTGTGTAGAAATCACATTGAATTGGTGAAAAATCTTCTTAAATTTGTCTTAAAATCATAAAATCACCAATTACAAACTAGATTTTTCTTTAAAATTGATATGTTGATGTATTTTTCACTTTGAATTATAAAATTATATGTTATTGCACTAAACATTTACATTTTAAAGTATGTAAATTTAAGGTGATTACCTGTATATTTTTTTCAGTAGAAATCTATTTGTCTCAATTTGTTGTGTGAAAAAAGAGTCAAACATCAAAATAATCCAAACATCATAATGGCGTCTAACTGCAAATTCTTATTTTTTATGTTCTTTTAAACATCACTTATAATTAAAATGATTTACACTGCAGAAATGAATCAAGAGACTCCCTAAATTTTTTCTTGTGGTTGAAATGGAAATGTTACAGCAATTGAATATGATTTTTTGTTTTAAATCTGTGAACAGATTTTTGATAAAACACAATTCAGAATGAAAAATGGTGAGGCGAGGTTGACCAAATCTATAATAGGACTGGTCCGAAAAAGTCTAGTTCTTTCAAAATAGGTGAACATTTGTATAGAAAGAACATAAAATCTGTGAAAAATCTTCTTAAATTTGTCTTAAAATCCTGAAATTGCCAACTACAAATCCATAGATTTTTCTTTTAAATTGATATGTTGTTGAGACATAAATTGCCATTTCAATGATGTAAAATAATAATAGGGACACCAACTTCCTTTTTACATCATTAAAACAGAAATAAATGTCTCATCAACATATCAATTTTTAAGAAAAATCAATAAGTTTGTAACTGTAGATTTGATGATTTAAAGACAAATGTCAGAACAATTTTCACCAATTATATGTGCTTTATATACAAGTGTTCACCTATTTTGAAAGAATTGATTCAGTAATATTTCAGAAAAGATAAGAGATAAATGCATTATTTTTTTGGAATTTCAGTTCAAGTTCAACAATTGAAAATTGTATGCAATATTTTACCAAAATCTGTGACATAACCAATTAACTGCTACTTTTCCTTAATCATTTGTTCAATAACAAGGCATGTTGATATTGCTTTTTGTTAAAATTCTTTTGATTATGTTTTGTGATTATTGCAAAATTAAATCCACAAAAATTAATATCAGCAGATCATACGTAGGCCTATTACCAAAAAATGTTTGATAGTACAACAGTCCACACCTTCATTATACAACGTCATTTTAAATCTATTTACTTTAAACTACCATAAGTAATTGTCAGGGTCCTTTTACTTAATATTGTGCTATTTGAAGATAAAAATATAACTATTGTTTTGCAGAGAATTTCTCTCAAAGAAGAATTATGACTTATCAAAGAACGACAAAGATGAGGATTGTGTTTGTGTAGAACTATCTTCTGAGGATACGAGAGGTATATGGTATGGCGATGATGAGGATGAACTCATTGATGAAGCTAGGAATACAATGTCAGAATCTCACAGTGAGGAAATAGAAATTATACATAAACTTGAGGAGGAAATGTGGGATTGACATTCTGAGATATTTTGGTTTTCAAGGTTTTCTCAGGGAAAAACTTAGTACAATTTGTATTTATATACCTCTTATTTTACCATACAATTAATGTTGATGAATACAATATCTTCTTTTTGGCTATTTTAAAACAGTTGCAACCAGAAACAATACTCTCATGATAAAAGGAGTATATGTATTTAGTATTTATATGACCCAAGTTAAGTTACAAAATTTAAATGCTTTGTGAAATTTGTTATGACTTAATAATCCCTTTGATTGAGATTTAATTTATTTTTTATATACTAGTACATTTCTATGAAGTATGCAGTCCTAATTTGATTTCATATTGTTACATTACTTGGTATTGTTTTGTTGTTGAAATCCATCTGTCCGTAAAATTTATGTAAATACATAAATGTAATTATATTAAAAGAAATAATTATTACCTTCTGAATATTTATTTTTTGAGAAGATTATGAAGCCTAACTTTTAAGAAATACTCCACTGAAATTCAGGTACTTGCATAGGTTAGTCTTAAGTATTTTAGGGCCTTGATGGGATATATGCACTTTGCATGTATGTGTACATAATTTGCTAGAAATAGCCTTTTTTGATTTGGATGCAAATCATGTAAAACATACCTGAATATGAACGGTTTTACTGTTACATGTATGTTAATTAATGAACCATAATAAAGTCTGTTTAGATATTTTTTCTGTGAATTTGCTTATTAAAAAGATTTAACTGTATTTTTTAATTGTTTAGTTAGTTTTAAGAACAGCAAGTTCTATGTATATCATAAATTGTATTATTTTGTTATTTAGTAAGTTGTTATAGTATAGAAAATAAATTGATATAAAAACTTTTAATATTTATTTGACTTTTGTAGAACACTATTTGTCCAAATACCAACAACAAAATACTAAATGTAACATTGATTGTATCAGTTTTATATGAAGGATTAGAAATTATGATAGATCATTTTTAACCGGATTTCCGAAAGGAAAAACTTGGTTATTGATTTGGGGACGTACGGCGGGCGGGCGTGGGGCTGCCAAACAGCGTCCGTTCATTAACATCAAAAAGCTTTGACGAAATTTTTTCAAATTTAGATATGTTGTTTCCATTGATTAAATAAAGGTCAAGTTCAATTTTCAGGATTTTAGCTTTTCTTGTTGTTGAGTTATATCCCTTTCCAATAGTCAAAAGTGGTACTTATTATGTGATTGAGTTATTTCCCTTTGAACAGAAATGGTTAATTATATATGTAAAGTTTGATTACACTTACAGATAAGTTTTATAGATATTTAAAAGACATTGTATTAATGATGAATGACATTTTGGATTTTTTTTCTTTTCTTTGGTAAATTGTTTGAGGAATTTTGTGTTTGTTATTCTGTATAAACTAATTTTCTGAATGCTATATATATAATTTTTTTTTGATGAAGTGAACTCCTTTAAAAACTAAACTTATATTGTCTATTAATAAACATATACTTAGATTTCTGATTTTGGTTTAATTTCATCAAAAATTGAATTCTTGGGGTTTTTTGATATGCTGATTCTTACAATGTTTTAGTGGTTAAATCATATCTAACTTTATTGATTATAATTTGAAAATATATAACATCATATCTAATTTTAGAAAACTATTTTTTAATGGTTAAATCATATCTAATTTTAGAGAACTATTTATTTATCATTTATTCAGTTTGAGTTATTTTAGAGATAACTGTATTGTATTTGAAGCTTTGCGGACGTCCATCTGTAGTTTTACTGTCGCAAATGTAGTTTACCTGGCGACGCGTAGCGGAGACAGGTAAACTGTGTTTCATTTCAACATAAATTAAATATATATAGGGTTCTTTCAAATGTTGAATCTAAACCTGTATTTAAATATTGGATTTTTGGGCCTAGTTTTGAAGTTGGTCCAAATCAGGGTCCAAAATTAAACTTTGTTTGATTTCAACAAAAAATGAATTTATGGGTTTTTTTGAAATGCTGAATCTAACCATGTATTTAGAGATTTTGGATTTTGGGCTCCTTTATCAAATTGGTCCACATTGAGGTCCAAAGAGTCTTAAATTAAACTTTTGTTTAATTTCATTAAAAATTGATATCTTGGGATGCTTTGATATGCTGACTCTAACAATGTACTTAGATTTTGGATATTTGACCATAATAGGTAAATGTCCAATTTCAAATTTTTCAGTTCTTTGACCACATTCGTTTTGTGTCACAAACCTATGCTGTGTCAAATATTCAATCACAATCCAAATTCAGAGCTGTTTTAAGATTAAATGTAGTGTCCATACTTGCTCAACTGTTAAGGGTTCGACCTCTGCAGGAAATACGGTTTGCTGTCACTGTGACAGCCTCTTGTTATCCTTCAAATAAGTTGTTAGAGTATGTTTTGGGGGAAATCTTAATCATCAATTTGATATTATTATCTCTTTTATCATGTTTGTGTCTTTGTTTCTTCCTACAGTGCTTGAGGGGACGGTTGAATTCTATCAGGGATGTTGCACCCAGAGATGCTTACCCTGTTGATGCACCCAATCTCACTTTGATTTGAGTTATGCAGTTGTAACAGTTTTTACCCAATGTGTGTTTAAACATTGACTTTGGTACACTACCTTCATAATCACAGGATTTGAAAATTAAGATTTTTGCATTTAGCACACATTATTGAATAATACAAATAACCCAACCTAAGATGCATTCCTCCCCATAAGATGTATTTTGTTTTTGATTTATTAACTGATACAGTAGCTATTAATTCATGTTTTGAAACAGTTAACTTCTTAAGTAATACCTTGACATTAATATAGAAATAAGAAGATGTGGTATGATTGGCAATGAGACAACTCTCCACCAGAGACCAAATGACATAGAAGTTAACAACTATAGGTCAATTCATATAATAAAAATATGAACCAATTGTTCAACCCCTTCAGGAACCTCATCCATCATATCTTAATGTTTTTTTTTTGTAATTTTGATTGCTTGATTGCTGTTGTGTGATTAAAGTCTAGTTGCAAGCATTTAATACATATACAAAGATGAGAACAAATTAACAATAAATCCAAAAGGTAGTTTCTGGAAAGTGTATGTTGGATAGGGGCTGGAAAGTTGCCTTGCACTCTCTACACCAGGCATTAAATCTACCGCCAAAGGGCCAAAAGGCCAAGCGAGCTATTTTTGGGCAAAATCCTTGTAGGTACAGAGAAACTAAACAGAAAAAGATCAGCATTTCAAGATCGACATAAAACATGTAAAAGAGATTTGATTCATGATTTATATTTAAGTCTACATTGTTGGAAAGATCAAGGTGAGTGACACAGGCTCTTTAAAGTCTATAGTCAATTCACCCTGCACAACCAAATGGACGCCCCTCTTAAGCGTCAGTGATTTCCAGATATGTCCATATTTTTATACTCCCGTCAACCATTGGTGTTTTGTCATTGGGTGAATTGGTGTCTTGTCATTCGGTGATATTAGTGATAACTGCAGATCTTTGATAGTCTATGCTCAATTTATTCACTTTTGTTTAAGACTCTGTGCAATTTAGAGTTTGTCAAATGATATGTTTACACATTTGTTATTCATGTTTATTGTTGAAGATTGTTGGTTGACCTCTTGGTGTTTTTGGATATTTGGTTATTTGGGTTTTTTGGTTTTTTAATTCATACTCTCAAATTGTAGGTTATTCCAATTGTTATGTAGAAATTTGATTTGTACTTCTGCTAGCTATAGTCTGTGGTTAGATATTTCAACCAGGATGTGCAGATAAAACTATCGGAAACAATTTCAGATGGCAGTACAAACATTGTTTCTGTATTCATGAGTATTACTTGTAATATTAAGAGTCAAACGTTCGTAAATCTATGGATGTATAAAAACATAAAGAGAGCTTTATGACAAAAAAAAAACGGAACATAAAAGAATAGCCAAAATCGTCTGGTGGCGGAGGGATTTTAACTATTTTAAAGCTGTATTAGGTATCATTTAAATCATGCCTGTACCTACAAACTGTCGCTGGTAGATTCAGAGATGCATTATGTCTCTTGTTGATTATATACACAAGTTTTGAACAGGTTAACTGAGATGATGTGTCTATGTATCAACTCACTGCGACATATTTTCGCGGTTTAAGCCGAACATTTGCAGGCCAAGGATGTAAAAGTACCGAAAAAGTTGTAGAGCTATATTACCAAAAAGGGCATTAACTAATAACAAAATTTATCTTAGCTCAACCTTTGCCTGAGGGAGTTGAAACCGCATTTTCTTAATAATTTGGAAATTTGTAAACGAAACAAAAAAGGCACTGACTACGATTACGTACGTTAACAAAAAAGTTATTGTTACGTTGAACACTAATTGCCGGAATGCTAGGTTGGGTTAGGAACCGATTAATTACGAACGTAACAATAATATTTGTGTCTACGGTTACGTTGCGTTGGTGTTACGTTAGATTTATAAAACTTTAAACAGACTTTTAGTTTAGTTGATGAATTCTCCGATATGCTTGATAATTATTATCGTCGTTGGATTGCCCAGAAGAACAAATAGAGTCTTGCCGTTTCTCAAACGACGACCTAAGGAAAAAGATTGATTGATTGATCGTTGGTTGCTTCACGTCAAGTGGCAAATATGTCATGCATGTTCAGTTAGTTTTCTATGGTGTGTCATCTGTACTATTATTTGTCTGTTTGTCTTTTTATTTTTGGCCATGGCGTTGTCAGTTTGTTTTCGATCTATGAGTTTGACTGTTTCAGGACGAGAACAAATTAACAATAAATACAATAGGTAGGTCTTGCAATAGAAGCTGTTCTGGATGAAAATCGGGAAACTGTTACTGCCACTGGAAAATGAGGGTATATTTGATAGGGGCCTAAATTTAGCCTTGCAACAGGTCACATACGGATCCCTCGAAGAGTTGTTGAAAGGATTCGTAACATGCAGAGAGCGTAGCACTCTCTCTACACGAGGCATCGGATTTAACGTCCCCACTCTAACCGGACGTGGCGGCGTACTTGATACATCCCGCACAGCCAAATGGACGCCCCACTTTGGCGAGGGTTTTATTGCCGGTCGGAAAAAGACCAAGGTGACCATATTTCTATTATCCAGTCACCCTTGGGTGTTAAAGGGGGAAAAAGGGGGAAGGTAAGCTACTTGATAACAACAATTTTAGGCAGTATATATTGATGCTAGCCGACAAAAATAATAATAATGAATCAATACTAGTAACAGAATGAAAAAAAATGTATTTTGAATGCACTGAAAATGAATAAGCTGTTGAAACCGTAAGTTTCTTGATAATTTTATAAACAGTTCAAAAGAGCATGTACTATCGCCAATGAGAACGAAATTACGGTCACAAAACATCTGGACGATGAAAATGCAAATCGGTTCATCTTCATTTAAATACTGTTGACACCTCTTGACAACTGTCGGTAAATGAGAAAATCAATTGCCTACACAAAATAGTTCCCGACCCGTATTTTTATGATTTATTTTTTTCATTTCAGCCATGCTTAGTTTGATATTAAAAGCCGAGTTTGACATAATATCAATAATTGACAGAAATGAGATAATATTAAAAGACAACAAAAAACAACATCACATGTTTCCAACAAAACTTTTGGACGAAAATATAAATAGTTCAAGAATAAAAAATTAAGATCGATTCCTAATCCAACCTAACATTCCGGCAGTTTGTGTCCAACGTAACAATAATTTTTTGTTATTGTTACGTTTTCAACGTAATCGTAACCAGTGTCAACATAAACAAAGGTTTGTTATGAATCGAGTCAATACCGAAGAACTACTGAGCTGATGATATCCTCTGGGACTTATAGTCCACCAGCACTGACTGGTATCGACCAAGTGCTGTAATAAATTAAAACAATACTTTATAAATTGTATACGAAGCGCTTCTCTGGGTTTACCTTCACCCGGAACGCTTAAAGCCGAATATTTGAAAGCCAAAGATGTATAAGAACCGAAAAAGTTGTAGAGCTACATGATAAAAAAGGACATACTATAATACCCAAATCCATCTTATGTCAACTTTGCCTGAAGGAGTTGAAACCTAAGTTTATTATATATATTGATTGATTAGTTGATTAAATGATTGGTTGATTGATTGATTGATTGTTAGTTACTTAACGTCCAGTTAATATATAAATATTTAGATATTTAGGTAACAAAATACTAGTAGTCTACATTGTAAATTTACCGATTGTGTCCCATTCCCGATTACGACATTTGACTAAGTAAGGATTCGCATGGCGAGTGATGCAAGCATAGTATGATATGCTCACCCTTCCGACTCACCCGATATAGTTTCTTCTTTTGGAGTTCATTCGATTCCTTCAGATTTTTGTTTTAACCTGGTTTGTTCCTTCTAAAAAGATTATGAGATTTGAACATCGGTGAACTACTTTTGCCTCATAATATATCATCGATCGATGTCAGGGTAACCAACCGATAGGAAATATATATGTGCGTGTATTCCACAGAGAAGTTTCAAGATAATATAGGCAGATGAAACCCGCAAGTTGTCAAAAGTTACCCATTTCACGTCCAGGGTGAAGTTGACTTTTGCAACCGTGTCCTTAGGTTTTCTTATAATTTAAATTGTCGAATTATTCGAAACACTTGGTTTTAAAAGAATATAATAAAATACCGAACTTCAAAGTAAATTTTTAAAAAGGGAAAGTTTATAAAAACTGACAATAAAACGTTTTCAATCAAAGAAACGAGTGGAAAGCAACTGTCATATTCCTGACTTGGTACAGACATTTCAGAAGGAAATGGTGGGTTAAACCTGGTTTTATAGCTAGCTAAACCCCGCACGTGTATGACAGTTGTTTATAGTTCCGTTATATTGATCAGAATTGAGTGAGCAATCAAGCAGACATAATAGGTTAATATGACAATTATTGGGATCCAGCAGTCAATACATACATCACAGACAAATAGCACAACTGACTAAAAATATTAAAAAATAAAACATACAAATGAATCTACAAAGACGCCAATAAAAAAAGTTGTAAGAGTGGCATTTTTTATGAATCTTCACAACCACTGAATTGATGCCTATGCTGTTTGATGTTTCTTCCGGAATTGGTGGGTTCGTGTTGCTCAGTCTTTGGTTATTCCATGTTTGGTTTTGTGGACAGTTGTTTGTCTTTTCGGTTGTCAGTTTGTTTTTGAATAATGAGTTTGCCTATCCCTTTAGTATCTTGCGCCTCTCTTTCCACATGGAATATATTGATAGGTCATTTTCTATTAATATGAGACTACTATAACGGTCTCAGTATAAATTTACTGCTTACAAAATGTTTATATATTTATAACATTAAGGTTTATTTATCCCAGAAATACGTGGCCTAGAAACAACGTTTTGGAATTTTTGGTTAAATCGAGCACCATAGAACTCCAGCTACTGATGAATCTTAGGTAGAAGAAGCACGCGTTTGCCGATATGAATTATAGCCAAAAGTCTTTGTTGAGTATTTATTAAGATTAAGTTTCTGAGATATCGCAGAGTTTGAATGCCTTAAAAAAACGTAAAGACTTTATTAGAATATTATCTATTGATATGATGTTTCATTTAAAACAAAATCATAAATATAACTGATGCATTGAAAAATAATATATCTAAACTCGGGATTGAACAGAATTATATGCGTATTCTGTTGAAATCGTTCTTTCTCCAGATGGTCCGGGAATTTTGAATACCTACTTACCTCTTACAAATACTGAATATTTCAATTAAATGCTATCAGGAAACCTCGTGAAAAGTTTCAGGCATGATATTTCTTTTTTACTTAAGTGGCAATAAACTTAATTAATATTCCTGTAGTAACGACCATATTTGACTCTGCTTTTCAAATTATGTAATACTGGTTTAGCTCATAGCATGTTGTGCTTCGATCACCTCAGGCTATCTAGACCATGTGTTGTCGTTGTTTGTCTTTTTTTGTAAATTAATTTTCTTGGAAAGGCCATTTGATTAAAATACATTTCCTATGATTAGGACCGATGATGGCTCGTAAGCAAAGCGTTGACAAAGGATCTGTATTTTAATCATATTGTCAGAAGAGCGAGTTGTTGTTGTTGTAGTCTGTTTTATATTGTCAGAAGAGCGAGTTGTTGTTGTAGTCTGTTTTTCAGTGCAGTATACTTATCATTGGTACATTTTATTTATGTTTCTAAGAAAAATCGACATTAAAAATTGAAAACACGAGTCATTAATGAAAAAATCTTTTCTGACAAAATTATTAATAAATATTTCTTATGAATATGATTTTGGCGTTGAAGAATTTTTTGTTTAAATAATTGTTTGCAATATCAATACATCATCAAATCTTGTGTAAAACACCGAGAAACGCGATTTAAAAAAAAAATCAGCTTTTGAAATAAAAACAGAAAAAGAGTTGTACAGATGGTGTTGTAAAGGAAACCAATGTTGCTAAATTATCATTTTTCAACACAATAGTTTCACTTTATTATTTGTATATCTTTTGAACACAATACTACGTTTTATTTTAATTATTTTCATGGTACGAGAAAACATAAGCATTTCTATTTCTCAGATATCATCATAATATAGTCCTAATTGTACTATGAAATCATAATTTCCTTGACATATAGTATAATTCCCGCATGATAGAACAATCTTCTGAATTCTAAAGTATGTTATCTCTTTCTAGGTTCTCTTTTGAAAATGATTTTTTCCAATCCCATCATTGGTAACTCAAAAGCTAGAGACGCCACAAAAGATACAGCAAATGTCAAACATATATGTCCAAGGAATTCATATATCTGTAATTAATAGTGAAAAACAATTTAAATTATAATAACATTGGCACAACTTTTTGGACCTTTCAGCTCTTAATCTTTGTATTTGATTTAGTCTTCCAACTGGTTTGATTTCAGCGTCACTGGTGAGTCTGATTTAGACGAAACGAGTGTCTGGCGATCAAAATTATAAGCCTGGTATCTTTAATGAGTTTTTGTTCATATAAAAAAAGGAAAAATGATAAATTTTATAGTGACTTATAATGAAAAATATTCCTTTATAAATTTCGTGCGTACGAAACGTTATCTGGATTTACCTCACACTCAAAAATTTTAAATCCTGCTAATGAATATAAAAAAGATAATGGAGACAAAAAAACATTTTGCTATTGTTACACTTTTGTACAAGCTTTAGCTTAAAACTTAATATTCAGAGGCAGCAAGTGTGGGATTTTTTACAGTCAAAAGAAATGAATGAAATATACGGTTTTAATAATGCTTGTTACATATCAGAAATATGCAAATATTTTCCAAATTACTCCAGTTTAGTTGCCATTGAATGTGATGATTTTGGCTTTGAAATAACATTGAAACGTATTTTATTGACAGAGCGGTCGTCTATTTTCATTCACTTTGAGCACAAATACGAAGAGTGTAATAGCAGTTGACTTGCAAGTTTTTTGGCTAAATTTAATGAATTGTATATTGGACTTACTGTTTCCATATCATTTAGATAGACCAGTCTCTGTTTAGTCAATCTAAAATAGCTCTGTACAATCATATGAACCATGTATGCCATATATGTTAAACGACTTAGAGGCACAAAGGCTTTCCACGATAAAATTGTGTTGATGAAACCTAAAAAAAATAATAAAAGTTACGATAATGAACCAGAATAGCTTTTTTTTATACTTATGAAAGCCTAAATCTCTAAATGGTTTAGAGTTTTGGCTACTTTCTATTGTATTTGTGTCACTTATTTGGTTAAAGGGTCTTGAAAATATTAAAAGATTTTTTATAAACATCCATAAAAATCAAATGTAATGAGTCACTTTGGTCTAATTTTACTAAAAGAAAACAAAAGACATGGATATTTTCCTACACATTAAAAAGGTTTCTAATAATAATTTGCTTTTTTATCATTCCTTATACATTTCAAAATACTTTCGTTAACTTTACAATAGAGTAGTTAATGTATATGGGACTGCTTGATAGTCAAAAGGACTAATAGAATGACACACATTCTGAACTGACCAAAATTCTTTAATCGTGATTGATAAGTTTACCTCCATTGCCTGTTGCACATGAAAAAATAACCCAAGAAATGCTTGCTCCCCATATTGTTCTATGTACAGTATTGTATAGTGCTGCCACGTCATTGGACAAAGTGACACTTCCATTATCATCACCATGTAAGCCATAAAGAATCAAACATGCTAAGGCAGCGAATACAGCCCATAAAATCAAATTCAGCCACTGAAAAATATATTATTAAAATAAATATAGATCGTCATTAACTTAATGCACAACTTTATGTACCTCGACTTTCAACACACAAAACTTATGCGAAGAGCGTAATCATTAGCGTAGCAAAAAAGCATTCTGCTATGATTTTAATTTGAGCATATCCTTTCTTTGTATGTCAAAGTTTACAATATGATTTTACGTATTTTCACTTTTTTGGCTTTGAGCGAACCTGTCGAAGGTTAACCCAGAAAGCAAAACGACGTAAACAATTTATACAGTGGGTCCACAAGGCCATATAAGATGTAAGCATACACTGAAATAAGGATGGTTGAGTGAAGGGTAAAATTTACTAATATGAAAGTAAAACAGTATGACTTTGTAGGTGTTTTGTATAAAATTTTATTCATTACCAAAGATGGACAATGAATGACAAAAAGGCACAACCAGCTCTAAATATGTTGAGACTAAAGATAATCATCAGTAAAGTAAAATGTCTTACAACAAATATGAAATTGATGTATTTGTTTGTATCTTTCTATTTTTACTTAAAGAATATCCTAGACATATTTCTTCTAGCATATATTAAGAAAGTGTAAATGTAACGCTCTTTTTTTCTTAATTTATTGGTACTTACTTTGTTAACCTTCCACTTACAGCCGGTTTTATATAAGAGGTATCCTGTATACATTCCCACTAGGTATGGACCCATTCTTGCATAAGGTCTGTCATATATTTTACTACGATGTTCGGTTCTAGAAAAATACACATAATTTTCATTTTTATACTGTTTGTTTTTTATTTACTTTATTTGATAATTCGATATTTTATACAAGTTATTAAAGTTTAGAAAACTCAATGAGTTATATTGTGTTCATTTCGAAGATTGTTTTCACTTAATTTTATATTCTACATATTACTGTATTTGCCAATACTACTCCCCTATTTTACGTATTAAATTATAATCCTGGTACCTTTGATAACTATTTACTAGTGTTTACTCTATGCATTGTGTTTCTATGCCTTTGACCATTGTGTTGCCGATCTTCATCGACTTATGGTTTATGGTCCCCCCCCCTTGGTATCTTCTCGTTTTTAATCAAATCGCAATTGCTGCGTTCAAAGCGCTTTTCTATAATATATTATAGTCATTAGGTATATTTATATGCAAATAGTTTGTCAAGCGAATTACAAAAAAAGACAAAGTCATACTCTTCTCAATGTCAAAATACTTATTTTTTTTTAAGAAGGATATATTAAAACCAATCATGATTATTACGTACTGTGCAAAACCGCCCGCTGGTATTTCATAAAAAGAAGATACAACACCTGTAGAAATCCAAGTCCCCAGCAAAAATACAAGTAACACTCCAGCTCCTGCCAAATGTGAGCTGAAAATATATAGGGTTTAATAACAAAAGCAAATGTTGTGTTTCGATATCTTATAAACCGCAGTATTAATTTATATCATTTGGAGGTATCACTAAAACACGTTTTTCATGAAAAAGTGAACAGGAAAATTAATTAAACGATTATTACTTAATTGATAACTATAGTGGGTAGGAACTGTTTTAAAAATGAGAGAAAGTTGAACTGCTTAATTCAACTTCGATACAAATATATTCAACTCTAATATCATTCAAAGGGTATAAATTATACACGGTCGTCATTTCCGTTGACAACTGCTTGTGAAAGAATAAACAACGATGATCAAGCAAATTATTTTGTATCGTTTAGGAAAAACGAGTAGACACATATAAGGTCAATAAAGTTTATTCAATAATAAAAAAACAAAGATTGGAAAAAATAAAGATGTCTGTCAAAATGTTCCATTATTACGATCAGCATCTGAGAATATCAGTTTAAACTTTCAGCGTTTTTACAAAACTACAAAAGGCAGATTGTACATCAACAGTTCAATGACATACAAGTTTTGAACAAACATATTTTTCTATGATATGAATGACTGAAATATTTTTCTCTTCTTAATGTCTTCTATATTTCTATTGCAAAGGTTTTTTCTTTTATACTGTTTGTTTGTAAAATCATATAAAATAAAAAATTATGAAAATAATAATCATTTTGATAGACAAATTTGCGTTTTCTTATTTGTTACGTCTTTTGATAATACAACGTAATTTTTCCAAATACTTAGAACTTGAATTGTATTTAACTTCACAGATGATCCGATACCAGACTTTTCACGATCCGACCATAGATAATCGTTTTTATGTTTTGAATTGTCATTTGAAACTTACTAAAACAATGGTAGAAGAATAAGGGGACTCAATATGAAAAATTGCATGTCATTAGCAAGATACCATGTCCATACCATACACTGTAAAATAAAACACTATATGATGATATGATTATATTTGTGCTGTAAGTTTCCTTACAGAAAGAAGCGTCGATAATATACAACTTTTGCCTTACTATCTATTTATGACATATGAAGAAATATTGTTTAACCAGCAATAAGGATATAAAAGGAAAAAAGGAAAAGTTTTTCTATACAATTATGTATTAAGAAGTAAATCCAACGAATTTGGTTTCTAAATTTAAGTATTACGAAGTAAATCCAACGAATTTGGTTTCCTGTTGAGAGTGACGTGTCACACTGTGAACAAAATTTTTGAGCTACTGAAAAGGTTCGACACTTTGATATATTGACCAAGGTGTTCCATGGTTGTATTATTCAAATCTATATTTAACTAACTTGCTTTTTTGGATCATCTACTAAATTGTTGATGTAAAATATATTGTAGTACCAGGCGTCTTTGCAATAATTAGGTTCGGGACCATCCTTTTCCCAGAGCGGACCACTTCCAATGTATGGGAACAGAGACACGTATACCATCAAAATCAACATATACGGAGGTGTTAATCTATGATGAAAAGTATATGGTTAATAAAAAATGTATTCGTCAGAACATAAACATCTTGTAGGCTCTTATTTAAAAGTTATCAAAGAAAACAATCAATAAAAAGAAACAAGAAATGTGCAAATATTAAATAAAGAAATTGTTAAAATGATATTTCAACCTTCATTTTTGTACAATAGACACAAGATCAAGATTATAGTATCAACTGGAAGAACAACACAACAAATATTGGCATTGCTAAAGTTCTTAACTAATGGGAAACTATGCATTACCTCCAAAATCTGTGAAAATAAAACAGTCCCCAGTTAATCTTTCCTTCATTTTTCTTTAAATTCTTCATGACCAAATATGTCAACAGCAGCCCACTGTGAAATGATCACAATAAAAGTAAAGGAGTATGAATATTATTTTCAAAATTTACAATATGAAATATAACATTGTATAAGAAAAAAGGATATTTCGAGAAAGTATATCACTTTACTAGTATGTATGAAAAAGAACCATTGAATAATGTGAAACACAAAATATCCCTACTTTTGACACAATAAAAAACAAATTAAGGAAGAGCACTTTGATTCCTGTTCTTCATTTTAAATCCATAGCTTACATCTTAGTTCAAGTCGAAAGAGGATGGATGCTGACGAGGTAGCTATTTAACCAAGGGTTCCAAATGGGAAAGTTGAACACATTCCTTCGTGGTTCATGTTTTTCAGTAATGGCTTTTCTGTGCAGTGTTTTTGTTTATTGTTTGTATTTCTTGGCAAGGTATTGTCTGTTTATCTTCGACTTTTGGTTTTTAATTGTTCCCTTAACATCTATCTCTTTTGTAAGACAAATTCCAGCACCGGTTTCAGTTGATTTTTTACCAGTTGCGGTTACGCTACATCGAAGAATCGAAAACCAGACGAAACCCAGAGATACGAGGGTATTACTTACAAATTAAGACTATGATGGGAGCAAGGAAACCAAGCAAATTCTCTGATAATGAGCCATATAAAATTGTTGCAAAATAGATACTAGTAAATAATGCAAACATTTGAACAACTAAAGGATACTTCGTTAAAACTAGTATTAGTACTCTTGTAGTTGTCAGTACCTCCGGAAAATGTGTTGAAATTGTCTGATAAAATTACTAACAGACCTACCTCAGAGTAAAGAATGAGTCTACTGATACAAATGAGTTGGTTATGATACTAAATGATATTCTCTCTTTATATTTGGGTAATGCTGTAGCAATATTATCTGAATTGAATACATAATATAAACTTAGTAAAACATCCCGATATTAGCTATATTGAAACTTTAATTTGCAATAAAAAGCATGTTTCCCTTATATCTTGTAACGTAGATGGGAATATGTTTTCCCGTATAAACACATACCAAAATTTTTAGTGAATTGAGTTTTATTCTACAAAACTTATTTTCATCGGCGGCAATTGAATATTTTTACTGTTTTACAGTTTTTCATTATATGCAAGAAGAAGCAAGAAGCCGTATTGCAAATAGTATATAAAAATTCCGAAATATAGATTTTGATATACATGGCAGACTTGTGCCTTTATTAACATCTTAAGGGTGTTATTTTGTGAAATCATATTTGAATTCAAGGGGTAAAAAGATGACCTTATTATACCTTCTCCTTTTTATATAAGACCCGACATCTATGAGATTGATTTACATTGTACAACACATTGTGAACATTGACTTTTATCTGATTTGTCGAGTAAATGACACTCACATTGCAAATTCTATAGATAATACAAAATAACTTAAGCTCGGACCGATAAGCTAAGCATTTCAATATATTTGTACGGGTAAATCAAACTATTTCAGTTTGATATCACGGAATGTGTCAGTCTGCAACTAATGTGTTCCTTTTTTTTGTGGTTTGCACCGTGATGATGAACATGAATTTTCTGTAACAATGCAACTTATCAATTTACCTGCGATGCTAAAACTAGCTAAGTAGCCATGCCCAAGACAAACCCATGTCATGGAGATAAAACGTATACCATTTATACACGTTATTGTATCTTTACTTTGCTCTGTCCTAAGGATAGATGCTCCATTTGTGTACACCGAGAACGATAGAAGAATCTTCCCAATGAGTCCTAAAATCAAAAGCATTACTAAGGACATGTTGCAGGATATGTGTCTTAACTTACAAACTTAGTTAAACATTATCATACTTGTGACAAAGTTTGTCAGTTTAATTTTCTGCAGGAAAAAAACTAATTCACAATTTGGTTTTATATAAAAGGGTTGTAAGATTCATATCGGTACAATCATTTTATTTTTTTATAGAAGTCTTACATCCGGTTGTAGCAGGCACACTTTTATTTTACACTAAATGCTTATGAAGGTGTACTGGTTGAATATTGTTATCAAGAAAGAAAAGATATTTTTAACGGTAGAAATTGCTTTTTTTTATCTATGTTTCAGTAACTGTGTGGAAATCTGAAGTCGGTAGTTCTTGTGGAATTGTCACTGCAGTGAATGTATAGTTCAAATCTGACTCGATTTTCAACTAAATATTCAAAATTCCTAATCAATGATGTTTAAGAAAAATAAATAATCAAAATACAGCTTCAATTCCAGGAGAAATTAAATAAAAGCTTGAGGACAAAAAAATATAAAAAGGCAACGAAAAATGTAAACGAACAGTGATGACTTATAACAAAAGTCTTTTCATTGCAAACATTTAACGCAAGATTTAAAAGTTGTAGAGACTAATGTTTAAAATATGTCGAGGTTTTACTATAAAAACAAAATGTTTATTAACTACATATTATAATTTAGTGAAGTAGTTTTGAGTTTAAAGGTTAGAAAACCTTTTCCATGTCATAAAGAACTTGTCAATACCTGGTTCATGAACAATTTTAGAATCAGCATTGTCAAGGAGTGAAGCCTTTTCTCCTTTCTTAGAGTATTTAACCTCATACTCAGACGTCATTTGATCCTCAGCTTCCCACTTTGGCCATTGTATAAAAACTATGTCGTACAATGTTCCCAGTGCCATAACTGTTATGAATAAACATACAACCACGCTTAAAATAAATGGGGAAATAAAATTAGAACCCTGCCAGTTCAATAGTTTACTAAAATGAAATAAACAGTAATGTCTGGAAAAAAATAATTTGATGAAATTTATTAAGGAAGAGCTTAATTAGGCCCTATCCCATTTGCAAACGTATAATTCCCTTCTATGTTATTCACATGAGATGGACAATGATGACCAAACAGCTTAAACATGTTAAAAATGAAACCTGAGACGTTGCAGGTATTTCACTCGCTATTAAAGTTTTTAAGTACTTAGTGTATATCGTAAAAAGATATAACATCACAAAATGCCATCAGTGCATCACTCACGATAACTAATATAAGGACAGATTTGACCGAGTCCAGATGGAAAATAAAAAAGTTAACAGACTATAGGATTATACAAGACCGAGATTACCAAAACAAAATGAAGGCCAGAACACACATATACATCGAGAAAACCTAAACTTGGATTTGTGACAAAGACCTTAAAACGAAGACAACAGCAAATAATAAACAGAAAAATCCAATAAAGATATGCATACCTCCAACCTCCCACCCAACACACACACAACCACTTATATAAATATCAAGAAAGCACTACAAACTTAGTGATATAGCTAAAGCATAAATAGTCATCTGATACATTTTATTTTGAAAATAAGAGATAACGAATGTTTATAACAGAATGAAGAAAGCTACCAAGATAGTTATTGTTACTAATATACTTACAGAACAATAATCGCTCTATTGTCAAGGGGTTTGTCTGGTTCCTGACATTCTATTGATGAAGCTTTAAATGTATTATTGGCTTTAATAAATTTAAAAAGAAAATACATATTAGATATAATCTTGCAATATTCATAGATTATAATGTGCAAAACAAAAACCATCAAACAGTCGTTTCGGTTTGATAAAGAAGGTATAATACGGGTAATTATTTTCCTCATTAAAATGTAAAAATGATTAAATCCTTCAATCCTTCAAAATTGATAGCAAAGTCTAGCCATTTCAATGCAAAATGTTATTTGTGATGTCACTATATATATAATTAATATGTCTTCACTGACATATATGACAAATGTTACGCATTGTTTGTCCTAAATTCCAAGTCATTTCCAAACTGATTTTCCAACTTCTAACATTTAATTTTGTTTCTGTTACTTGTTTTGAAATAAATTGTCTTAACTGTGACGACTACAACGATCTTATCATTCAGTGTGCTACTTAGAAAATGAGTTCCCACAAGTAATATGAATTTTGAATGAAAGTAAAATCAACTAAACTTGCTGACAATGTCAAACCTACCTGTATTAATGAGATATTGGACTTCTGCTTCATTACAGCTATTTGGGACACATATTCCTACAGTAATCTGAAAGATCATAAAACTGTGAAGTTGGCAATGATGTATAAGATTTGAGACGGCATTTTATTTTTATTGCTGCATGACTGCGTAGGTATTTTTTTTAAAGTCTCTAAAATAAAATCTAAATGTTCTTACATTAAGTAAATACCACAATTAGAGAGTGGATGGTGTAAACACCTATGCCAACACTGCAAATGTTGGTATTTTTTACTTACACGTCGTATGAACTTTGCCATATCTCCCGTTATTGATATGGATGCTTTACAGTACTGTCCTTTAAAGTTGTAAGTGATACCGTCCACTGGTTGTACAGTAGTAACAGCAAGGCATTCTTCATAGTCTCCTAACCATTTGGTACTTCCACCAAGTATGTTTGATGAGGGTTTGCCCGCAGCGTCTATCACTAAAAAAGTTATGTTCTAATAATTAATTGATTGAAGGTTGGGGAAAATACTGATGTATACGTGCATAGGGAATGTGTCCATGGGACACAGATGATGCCCCCGCTTGCATATAATGTTATAAAGGGACAAAACACAAGAACTGTAAAAGTGACGCTACCCAAATTTGTATTTGATCTGAGTTTTGTGGTAATAAGTATTGTGTATACGTTTCATAACATTTAGTTGAGGCAAACTTAAGTTAGAGAACGGAAACGAAAAATCCAGCAAAATTTCCCTTTGTAAAGGGACATAACTCTAGAACAGCAAAAGTGAGGCCACCAAAATTCAATCTAGATCTGTGTTTTGTAGTAATTAGCATTGTTCATAAGTTTCATAACATTTGGTTGAGGCAAACTAAAATGAGAGAACAGAAACGAAAAATCCAGCAAAATTTCCCTTTGTAAAGGGTCATAACTCTAGAACAGCAAAAGTGAGACCACCAAAATTCAAACTAGATCTGTGTTTTGTGGTAATTAGCATTGTGTATAAGTTTCATAATGTTTGGGTGAGGCAAACTAAAGTAAGGGACGGAAACAAAAAATTCAGCAATTTTTCATTTTGTAAAGGGACATAACTCTAGAACGGTTAAAGTGACGCAACCAAAATTCAAACTTGGTCTGTGTTCTAAAGTAATAAGCATTGTGTATAAGTTTCATAACATTTGGTTGAGGCAAACTAAAGTTAGAGAACGGAAACCAATTTTGATACGTACGTACGGACATACAGACCGATAAGGGTAAAACTTAATGCCCCCTCCGCTACGGAGGGGACATAAAAAAGAGATTTATCGACAAATATTATTTTTAAACCATGATATATATGGCCCTATTTCACTATATCAAAAGGATATCTTGAACAATGATAAACAACACAACAGTCCTCGAAACACAACACACAAAACAAAATATTGAACAATCCGAATCTTACGTTGAAACGGTAAAAAGTAAATATAACACAAAATCCGAACTCCAAGGAATATTCAAAACGGAAAGTCCCTCATCAAATAGCAAAATCAAAAGCTCAAACACATCAAACGAATGAAAAACAACTGTCATATTCCTGACTTGGTACAGGCATTTCCTTATGTAGAAAATGGTGGATTAAACCTGGTTATATAGCTAGCTAAAACTCTCTTGTATGACAGTCGCATTAAATTCCACGTAAAACAACCACGCTTTACAGAATTATTTCGCTTTGAAATAGATTAATTTGAGGTTGGCACACTTGCCTCCTTTCAAAATATCTAAAAAAAAGTCGTTAAAGTTAAGAAAAGAGTGATCAAAGTAAAGAATGTTATAGAAAAATAAAAAAACAACGAATAAGGAATAAGGAATAAATAATGAACTTGAATAGATTTACCATCATGTTGCTCATTACAAGTAAAAATCCAGAGATCAATTGACTGATTTATTTTCTTGAATGATCTTTCAATTTACAGACAATAACATCTGTTGATTATCAATATGTTTTCTCCATTACATTTTCATTAGCTGAATCTTTGTTTTTCAAACTGTCTTTTTGGTAGTTTAGGTATATTTATACATCTGCGATGTATCTTGTTAAATCTGACAAAAAACACTCCAATTATTGAATATCATATATGCCGTACCAAAAGATTCAAAACTATAGCTTGTAGCTTACTTTGTATTATATCACATTAAAGATTTGAACAACAGGGGCCTTAAAGTTTAATAGTCTACGTTCCATATGAGGAAAATATAATCATCTCTTTATAAATTTACCGTTCATACTCCCTCTTAGTTGTGTATAAAACTCAATATACAGCCTGTTCTAAATTGGTTTGGTGCTAGTCATGGGGTGATCAGGGGTTCGAGGAAAGAGGTACGTAATTGTCACCTAACATCACCGAGAGTATCGAGGCGATTCTTTTTTACACAATTTTATTCCAAAAAGGATATTTTATCCGATCAAAAGTGGGAGAGGTGTAAAATCAGCCGCTACTTATATACTAGTATTTGATAAGCTTTGTTCTGTGTGTTCTTTGAACATTATTTTCCTCATTCAAAAAAAGTTTTTTTTTCAATGTAGGACAAACTTTATAATACCCACATGTTTGATGACACCTGAATGTTAAAAGTGTCCTTCAAAGATTGATTAGCAGAATTTTAATCAGTGAAAATTGTTCTCTTATCTGAGGAGTAGGATAACAAATTTTCAATACTGGCCCTCACATTCAATTAGATTATGAATTACATTAAGTATGATAAAAAGAATAATGAGATAAATTAAAATCTGTGGTAAATACAAAGTCAGTAAGTTTTTGCAATCTTTTGAATGATTGTCCGTTTGATATTTTCCGCCTCTTTTTCAACTTTGTGTTTATGTTATTGTATTGTCATACGAGTGCAGTTTGATGATTAGACACATTTATCATTATCGTCATTTATTATCATTATTTTTTTCTTTTTATTTATCATATATTTGACTTATTGAGGCCTATTTTTGTTTGTTTAATAATCTTGCGGAAATATTTTATCAGAGTGCTTGTACATCTTCTAAAAGATGTGCATTAAAGATTTTGATGTATGATACCATGGGTAAGCTGTTCCCAAATTATTGCTTACCAAATAATTAAGAAAAAACATTTAGTATATGAGCTTTATTCGTTTGCTGGTCTATAAATTATGGAAAGAGTTTTTTTTCTGTTTTTTTTTCTGTTTGTTTGTTTTTGTTTTTGTTTTGTTTTATTGTTTTGTTTTTGTTAAGCCTAATATAGATATATATACCTTAAAATCAAATGAAACTTCAAATCTAAATAAACTATGAATGTGTTGTATATACTTTAATGGCTAAGTTGAACTATAAAACACGTGTATATGGACTTTCGTTTAAAACAAAATCCTTTATCTGCAACAAATCTTCAGAAATATATTGCTCTTGGATTATTGTCTTCCCGTACTCTTATTTACCGTCAGCTTTTTCGTATGCAGTGACCTTAACCATGAATCCATTCGTTAAAAAATTGACAATCGCACAGCTCAAATGCGAGAGAAAACCGTAATAAAAGAAAAGGTAAACATACGTGGAAGTTTAAGGATAACAGAATTCGTCGATTCCGAAAGAACATTCTAATTCACCAAATCATGTTACAACTGTTATGACAAAGTCTAATTTAAAAAAATGGAACGTATGCACATATAAAAATTTACAAATAAAAAACGCTCTATCCATGCTAGCATCTCACTTATTGTTCACGTGTTCCACGATTCCATGTTGATTGTATATCAAAGTCGCTATCGGTGAACTTCGTCATCAACACCCGATAGTTAATTAGCAGCTAAAAATTGCGAACAACAATCAATGAATGAAATATTTTTTCGCGATCTATGTTATGGATTCGTGATAAATGTAAAATAACGTGCACAGAGGACTTAGTTTAGTTGGTAAAATGTTGTTTGTACCTGTATAAATATTGATTTTGTTATCACTAAATTAAAACATGACTGAATCTAAAAACATTCATGGGCCTAAATTACGTCGATACCTTTACTTTGGCATTGCACAATATCGTGCTTTTATCGGACTGTTTATGATATCTCTACCCTAAATTAATTTGATATGTACTGATTGATATTTTAGTCCTAGATATCCATTAGAGGATTCGTGAGGGGCATGACCATGTAAAACTGTTCAGGTTTTCATTGTAAGTAAAAGAGTTATTCTAGACAAGTAATAAATACAAAAAACAATAATATACTTTTTTGATTTTACACTTCAATATCATTGTTGAATAGAGCATTTATCAAACATTATTCCTGTCAATTTGGATTAAGAAAAACCAGCAGGTTATTTTTTTTGTATGATATGTAGGAACTTATGTTCAACTAATCAGTTCCTAACCTAACTGTAAAAGACGAACTTTAATAGATAAGCGTAATAAAAAAATGAACACTTTCAAGATAGTTAGTGTATATAGGAAATTGTACCGACGCTATGTTAACCCAGGTATAAACTCTATACTAAATATAATTGTTATCCGCA